GGTGGGTCCATTTGCTTAGCTGATCTTGAGGCTTGCGGTTGGCGCAGCTAAATGATCGGCCATTTTACTGGCCGATCTTTACCCTGTCGGCCCAAAGGAGATACTCGGTGCACAGAGGACACCGCCGCTCCTCTGCAACTATCCGAGAGCCTAAAGAGGCTTCTTAATTCCTCAAAGCAATCTTCTCCAATGTAATCCCTACTAGACCCATCAGTCACAAATCCAGTCAGTCACAGCATGATGGCAGGATATGATGGGAGTTGTAGTCCAACTCATCCAAAGAGGGCCAGGCTAAGCAAGACTGATATAAAGTGCCACATGATAGGATAGACAGTCTTAACCATGTATTCAGTGTAAGAGGTTAACTGTCAGCTGATTAGGGAAGGGAGTCAGTATCTTGTGTCCATCAATGGCTAGGCAAAGGTTTCTGGAAATCCCACAGGCAAGGCCTTCTCCCACTGTTTCTTTTCAGCAGCCAGCATTTTGAGGAATATTCCCTCAAAAATGGACACTCCATTTAGCAATTTTGCAGACTTTCTCCATCTTGCTCACAAATCCTTGTAATTTATCTACTAGTGATTCAGCTACACAAATATTTCAGTGGTTGAAATCAAAATCTCAGTAACCGCAACTCTTTATTAACACTAAATTTCACTGATGGCCTTTAACATAAAATGTTCATAATGATCAACAGTGGTGCGAACACGTTGGCATCTCAGCTGGAATACACTTGCTGTCAAAAAATACAATCAGTGGATCCTTTAGCATTCAGCTACCATGTTCACCATACATTATCTACAGTACTGAAGGCAGTAACCAATCGTTTGGTTGTGTGGCATCTAGTTGTTTAGATTCTATATAAATGTTGTGTTTTCTGAAAATGCATATCACATCAACCGATTTCTATGGTCTGCAAAGCCCCATGTTTTCCTAGATCTCAGTTCCCAAACTGCCAATTCCCTTGCTTCATATAGATAATATGACAGCGGGAAATGCAGAGCCTGAGAAAAGACAAGATAGTTATGAAAATGCAGTGCCACTGCCATCAACTGCCAGATGGACTGCAAGTAGCTTGATACATCAAAATAGCAGGAAAAACCCTTAAGTTTTAAACTTGTGCATATGTGAACACACATACACAGACAGACAGACAGAACTGTATACTCTGTTGATGCTGTTCTTTATCATAATTAGGGCTGCTTAATATTTGAATAAAGTTACTTATCTATCCAAGCCTCATCCTTGATTTATCTGTTAAGTATGTTGGTGTGCATTTGTATTCCTGGATTTGGATTTATAATCAGGTTCAAGGAATAGACATGAGAAATGTTGTCATGTTTGTCTACTAAGGATCTCAGTATGTAACAGCTCTAGCAACTATTCCTCTTGATTCTCACTATTTTTTCTCCCCTGTGAAGGCTTCCATTTAGATTTTACTTTGAAATTGCCCAACCTAATCCACAGAATTTCACAAGCAGTTCAGATAACCACCTCCATATGTAATTATCAATTAATTACATATTAATTTAGACCCTCCATCTAAAAACACTGAGGGTAAAGTTAGCCTGATGAACAGAGGCTGTTTCAGACCATGGATCCTGTGAGTCCGGTTACCTAGGTCCACGTCCATCTCCCTAGCTGTGGTTCTTTTGTGGTTTCCTGAAATCAGTTCTTCTTTATTAATCTCCATCCTAATTCCAACCTGCTCTGTGTCTTATCTCTAGGAATTTAATCCTGAGGAATTTTATCACTTGCTGGAAGCAGCTGAGGACCATGCCAAAGAGGGACATCTGGTAAAGACAGATATTCCTCGTTACATCATAAGCCAGTTGGGACTGACTCGAGACCCATTTCCAGGTAATACAACCAAAATTATCTGCTATCCAAGTGGCCTTGTCTCTGCATATGTACCCAAGTCACAATATTTGTTAAATGACAAGTGACCATACGTGTGTCATTTCTTGCATGTATTAGCATGGTCATCTCATAACTCCATTGGATACGTGGCAATTTGTTCAAGTTAACATTACATGGATTCCACATAGCACAAATGTGTTCATTTTCTTCAATATAATTCTTTATTCTTGGGCCATTTTTGTTCCTGATGCAGCTTTGAGGGAAATCTGTCTGACTACCTATTCTACTTAGAGGATAGATTATAAATAAATGGACACAGAATTTAGTTCCGCAGAGTTAGCCAGGATATTTCTAAGGTCTGAACAAAGAAGTTAAATTTATTAAGGAGCTATTAAAATTTTATTAACAAACTGAAAGGAGAAGAAGGTAAATTGTCATCTACTAGAAGTTTCTGCATTACTATTTTTTATTTGGTGATTGCTGGATTCTTCTCAAGAATGCTGGAGTAAATAGACACTTTTTGGATATGAACAAGAGATAAGCTGATAATGAAGCCTTGACTATTAAAAATCCCAAGCATGCACACTTCTTTTTTAAAATTTAAAATTCATATGGTCACCATCAGGGATGGTGTAAAAGGAAAATCTGCCTACCTAGTTGTAGAAGAAGTGTAGTTATGATAGGGCATTGGAATCCTTCAAGTGACAAAACAAAAAGATGCTGGATGAACAGCAAGTCTTTTCTCATCTTGACTTTAAACCTCAGTTTTCAATGTTACGGCAAACTTTACAGCATCAACTGTTCCTCCAATGCTTCTACATAAACAAGGTGACTTAATGAAATTCAGAACCACGTTGTCTTTCCCCCCCCTCAGTTGTAGCTAAATATATACAACATAGCCATTAAAAATGTATGGAAAGACACTGACAAAAATTTCTCAATTTCCCTCCTTTCAGACTTTTACCAAGCCAAATAACTTTCTGATTGTTGTGTGTTGAATTGGGCTGAATTGTCTAAAAGTTGATACTCCAATCCACGATATCCAGGGTTGTGAAATTATTACAGGTGGCAGATTCCAACAGCTGGGTTATGCTGCTTGCTTCATCTGAGTAAAACTAAGAGCAAACTGTGCACAATGTGAAGGATTTTTTTGGAATGGCTTCTGTTTTTATTTTTAGGACCTTTGGTGTAAGCATCTGGGCTCTGGATTTTATCAGACTGATGTGCAAAAGATGGGTGTTAACCCCTTTCCTTCAAGTTGACTTCTCATCCATTTCTGTTTTTCCTCTCAATGGGGGAAGCGTTGCATGGATTCATCAGGTGTGGTTGATCCTGAAACAGGATTGATAATTGTTCAAAGTTGTCTAACTAGGAATCATGATCTGGATTTACAGAGAAGTAGTAATAGAATTTGCATACAAATTCTGGAAAGTGGTAGATCAAAGGCCCCAGGTGCTAGAAGGTCTGTTGCGTGTTTCTTCATTAGGACAATATATTTTTTTTAATACTTCAGCTTGTCAGTGTACATTTTCACACTGGCAAAGTAGCATATGCTCATCTGCATCCAGTGTTAAATGTGTGCATGTATTTAAATATACCTATATTTCTCTAAGCCGGATTTCATGAGTTCATTTATATTGCATTGTGAGTGTGAATAAAATTCCCAATGTGTGCACATCAGCATAAAGGGGCTTTTGCATATCTGTGTGTGTTGAGCTGCATGCAGATGTGCTTGCAAGTGCATGGTTGAATCTTCTGATTTGCCATTGGAGCACATGGAGCTTTCATCTATACCCATTTATACCACATGCATGTGCCTTTGTGTATATGCATGGCTCTGTGTGTATTTAGATTTCACCCTTTCTGTGCTTTCATAAACGACAATGGGGGTTGCTAAAGCCTTGTTCCCTTTGGCTCTCCCCAAACCTTGTTATCGTCAGATGTGCTGTATGTGGAGGAGCACGATAGTGGAGGATCCAACACACCTGAGACAGAAGAGTTCGCCGAGGTCAGTATACGGGTCAGCTTGGCCAACCCCATCCTAGCCAGTTTTCCTCCACACAGGGACTCCCACAGACGTACCTTTATTGCAATTTGTTCACCATTCTGTGCAAATGCCCATTTAGAGCAAGGGGAAAGCAAGTCTGTCATTAATACTAAGCCTCAGAAGAACACCCCATCTGTGTAAGAAGACTGAGATTCAGTAAAAATGTGTGGTGGTATAATACTCAAAAAGCTGTATAAACATAAATTATGGCATTTACCAGGCACCTATCATTTGCCTTTCCTTCTTCCCCATAGATGCCCATGTTCAGAAGTACCAGTCTTTGAAATTCAGAATTATATCTAAAATTGTGTACTGTTTCTACTGGCAACAACCAGAAATAAATTAGACATCATTAGTATGGATGCTTAGGGAGGAAAAGTGTTACTGTAACTTAAATAGCAACACTACTTATGTGATCTTCAGAGTACTTTGCTTTGGATAGTGATGTTGTTCAATCACTATGTATATATTGTATTTTTCATATGTTCATTTAATACTGTATTTAGCTTTCCAAGGTAATTTTCCCTCAATATACTTACATCTGTCCTATTTAAATCAATGTATATTAATGTATTCAGATGAGAGAATCAACATAGAATGCATTTCTATGTAGTAAATCCACCTGGGTTTCGTGCATGCAATGCTCTCTAGAAAGATTAATTAAGAAACAATAAATATTATTTCTAAATCAGAAGCTTAATTTCAAAGAGCTGCCCAAGCTAGATTTTGCTTATGGAAGAGATTTGCACTAACTTTTCCTACTTTTTGCCCTTGGGCAACTAATAATACTGCCTATGCAGTAAATTATAATATCTCAAGCCTCCCTCAGTTTCAACAATTATTTTTACATTGGAATGAGGAGCACATGTTAACTAAAATACATGCATCTAAACCCCCCATGGACTTGTTTAATTATATTTCAAGCTCTTTGGACTCTAGCTTGGGGGATCTGTGGTTTTGAGCTGTTGAAGAATGTTTGCAATTATGTACAATGCAGTTAACAAATGCCAGCTTTGCTTGTTACAAGGAAAGACTATCTTTAATATTTTGTTCAATAAAAAGTGAAATAAATGTGCCCGTAATTTGGATTCCTACTAGTTAACCAACTAAAAATTAAGTTGATTGATCCACTGACTAAATATAGTAAAATCTGTAGCTTATTTAGGATTTTCATATCTCACATTTTAAAGTTTAAAAGTTTGGAGGGAATGCTGAAACTTAATCACTTTTGTTCAGTCATGATGAAAGCAGATCCAATTAGCCATTTAAGATGGCAGCAGTTTAAAAGAGAGGAGGGCTGCCTGCATGCAGCTGTCTAGCCTCATTTTTATGACCTCTCCCCTAGATGGTATTTACGCAATTTTATGACTAATTTCTATCTAAAGTAGATATCCCCTCTGGATGCATTACTATATCTTTTATTTTAATGAAAATCTGAGCCCTATATCTCAGTTACGTTCCCTACAATATTTTGGGGAGAGTGGCTAAATAATCTAAAATAATGACCTACTGGCAAGATGTATTTTTTGATTTTTACAGTGCAGCTGAAGATGTTGGAAAGCTACTGTTGGTCCTTATGACAAACTGATTTGAGAGACTTTCTAAATTGCTCTGTCCAGTGGCAGCGGCAGCAACAATGGCTAGAAATGGATGTGAAAAAGATTGGAAGAAAAATCCACTTGTGGAAGAGAGGAGGACTATGAAAGAGAGGCGTAACAAGGGTGGCTAAGGGACAAGAGGGGGAGGCCTGGGTGAGAATGATGGCTTATGAGTGTGACTGATGGAAGAGAGAGAAAGGTAAGGAGGAGAAATGATCGTAGGCGGATTGGACAAGAATCAAAACAGACAGATGGAGGATAGATGACTTGTGCATGGGACCTGCACGTGTGAGGGAAAAGGAATAGGCTGAAAGTGGAAGAAAGTGGTGGATGGTCTAGGTCCTAGGATGTTACTCTTAGTTATTGGTTAGTGCAGAGGGTGCATTGTTGCTGAATCTTACTATTTCCCAGGCTGGAACTGCTTCCCTTGCTCAATCTCTCCCTTACCACAGTCTCTTAATAATTCAGTGATGGCATGTTTGTTTTGAGCAGAAAAGGCTGAATAGAGAGACACAGAGGGAACCTCTTCCACCTCCTCTTCCCCTTTGGAAAATCATCAAAGACATGATTGTTTCAGAGGCACTAGAAAGCTAACCAGCTGCTCTTTGGAAATGGAGTTAAATTGGCAGACGGCATGAGGTTTTCAGTGTTGTTTTCAGTTTATTAAATTTGAATGGTGTATTTTCTTTTGATTTTTAAATCACAGCGAATCAATTAAATCAATCTGCAAACATATTATAATGTAAATAAATGGTGGAAGAATACTTAGGGCTTCACATTTTTTTCTGAAGATTTGCAAAGATTAACTCTCAACAGAAGATTAAAAGTTTACATAGAATCAGTCATGATTTTGTTCTCTATCCCTCATGCTTTGTGGTTTGCAGCCTAGAAAGGGTTCTGCAGCTTTGTTCTACGTTTTCTGTTCTTTATTGGTGAGAATGTGATGAACATACATGTGATAGTAGCTCTTTACTGAAGAACAGAGATTCTGCCTGGATAAAAAAAAAAATGCATTATTAGGACTTGAATGCTGTTGCTTAACTATGCATTTCATTGTGCACTTGACTCTTTTTAAATTTTGACATTCCTGCATATATAAACAAAATGACTACTGTTTCTGAATGACAGAATTCAGATTCAAATGTTGTGTTAACTTCTATATAAAAAGCATCCTATAAGGTAAACTTCTGTTAGAACTGAATTCTTGTTTCTTTATGGACCATTCATGGCCTCACACTCTGAATCCTTAACATTGCAGAGTCGTGGGACTACTCCAAAGCCAAAGAAGCCACCAGGAGAAGGAGACTTTGAAACTATTAAACTTATAAGCAATGGGGCCTATGGGTGAGTGCACTAACTTAACATCAGGCTCCTTGGACCATCAGCTGCAGGAAAGGATCCTTGCTTCTGGGGTCAACATTGTAGTTCTAAATGCTTCAAATGTTTACTTGGGCCAGTCATTCTGTTCCTACAATGATGATGTAGCTCCTCTCCACAGTTATAGCAAACTGGAGTATAAATTAGGACAATGGTTCAAAGGAGCCATAAAAATAGGTTATAATTTTGAAAAAAAGTTTAATGTTTGGATCAATTGATTAATGGATAAATAAAATAAATTTAGCCTGGTATTGAAGAGAAGTGTAGATACCAAATACTAAACACCCCACTTTGCATCTTAAGAAGACAGAACTCTTGGAATAATTCTTCCAACAGGAATCCTTTATTAAGAGAAAATGGTTGCAGGCATGCTAGACAGGACTTGGGGTTCAAGCTCTCCCATTCAAGGTTTTAAGGGGTTCCCCAGTAGTCCCACCCAATCAACCCCCCTTCCAGTGATAGTTTCAAGTATCACAATTCCACCCCCTTTCTTCTTTCTTCCGTCTGGATGGAGACTTCAGATAACTACATGAAAGGCAAATACCCTTCCTTGTTATGGTAATGTTCTTGGGTGCTAACACTTTGAGGTTATAATAAACATACATTCAGCATTCAGCTCTTTGAAGTCTACTGAAGGAAGTGAGGGCCATAAAGCCCCTTTGTTCTCCCCCTTCTCTCCCTCTTATGGCAGAATCCAGAGAAGGCAGAATTGGGGTTTTCTATGTTTGATAATTAAAGATGAAATATAATTGGATTCTGACATCCGGCCCCTCTTAAAAATAAGAGAGATTCACCTGAAAGAAAACAAAACAGGTATAAGACTTAGTCAGGCTTGTTAGGATACTCTGTGTGAAACTTCTTCAATAGCTTCGGGGCTCTGACATGACGTTTATGGACCCACTCGTTTTGTGAGGGAGGGAGGTGTTTCCAGGCAACTAGGTACTGAGTTGCTCCATGATATCTCCTAGAGTCAAGGATCTCTTTTATTTCGAAGTGTTGTTCGCCCTCCACCATGATTGGAGGTGGTGGTGGGGGGATTTTTGGCCGTAGAGGTGACTGATGCTCTCTTTTCAGCAAGCTGCAATGAAAAATTGGGTGTATTTGCCTGAGATTTTTGGGTAATTCTAATTCTACTGTTACTGGATTTATGATTCTTTTAATTGGAAAAGGTCCTATATATTTTGGTCCAAGTTTTTTACAGGGCTGTAGGGACTTTAGGTATTTTGTAGATAAGTACACCATTTCTCCTATAATGAATGGTGTAGGCTCAACCCTTTTTTTATCGGCTTGTGCTTTGTATGCCTGCCTAGCTTCATCTAGTGCTTTTCTAACTATTGGCCAGGTGTTTTGTAGTTTTTCCATCCATTCTTTCAGTGAAGGGATCGTTGGTTCGTTTGGGGTTAACTCTGGCATGGGGTTGAAACTTTGACCGTTGGCTATTTGAAAAGGAGTGTAGCCTGTGCTGGAGTGGACTGCATTATTGTAGGCAACTTCTGCAAAAGGAAGTAAGTCCGTCCAATCACTCTGTTGGAAATTTAAAAAACATCTCAAATATTGCTCAAGTACTGAATGGCACGTTCTGTTTGTCCATCTGTCTGAGGGTGATGGCTAGATGTCAGTCCCTGAGTGGTCCCTAAGAGGGATAAAAATTCCTTCCAAAATGCAGACGTAAATTGCACTCCCCTATCAGAGATGATGCGTTGGGGTGCCCCGTGCAATCTGTAAATGTGCTGGATGAAAAGTCTTGCTAAGGCCTTTGCAGTGGGAATCTTTTGGCAAGGGATAAAGTGCACCTGTTTGGAAAACAAGTCCGTGACTGTCCAGATAACAGTATTCCCATTGCTTTCTGGCAATTCCACTATAAAATCCATGGCTATTTCCCTCCAGGGGGCTGAGGGACTTGCCACTGGTTGTAATAGCCCTGGCGATTTCCCTTGCAACCTCTTTGCTGATGCACAGGTTGGGCAGCTGGCAACATAACTTTCTATGTCCTTTTTTATTGATGGCCACCAAAATTGCCGTTTAATTAAGTGTAAAGTTTTTACAAATCCAAAATGCCCTGCTGATTTTGTGTCATGGCAAAGCTGCATGAACGTGATTCTTTGGGTTGTTGGTATATATAACTTTTCCCCTACCCAAGGCAACCCGTCTCTCATTGTGCACACATTTTTGTTTTTCTGGAACCATTCATCTGTTTCCAAACTTTTTCTGAATTCAATTCCAGTTTGGCTGTCCAGTTGTGGTTTTATTTTGGCTTGGGTTCTTGTGGTTACTGGTGCTGCCAGTTGTGACTCTGCCATTATTGGTCTAGAGTCTGTGGTTCGTGCGCTGTTATATTGGGGCATGCGAGATAGTGCATCTGCCAGGAAGTTCTTTCTTCCTGGTAAATGTTTGAGCTTAAATTGGAATTGGTGAAAATGCTGGGACCAGCGGGCTTGTTTGGGATTGAGTTTCCTGGAGTTTTCAGGGCTTCTAAATTTTTGTGATCAGTCCACACCTGGAAGGGGATTTTGTTGCCTTCCAGGAACTGTCGCCACGTGAGTAATGCCCAACGTATCCCATAAGCCTCCTTCTCCCATACGGGCCAGCGCTGTTCTGTTTCCGTGAGTTTCTTGGATGTATATGCACAGGGTTGCAATACTGCATCATCATTTTCTTGTAATAGCACAGCCCCCACTGCCACATCACTTGCATCTGCCTGTATTATGAAGGGCTTGTCCATGTCTGGGTGCCTTAGTACTGGTTCGGCAGAAAAAAGTCTCTTTAGTCTCTCAAACGCTGCTTGGCACTCCATTGTCCATGTTAGTGGCTGGCTAGGTTTTACTGAGGATGTTCCCTTCGTTTTTAGTAAGTTAGTGAGGGGCAAGGCTATCTGTGCAAATGAGGGGATGAATTGGCGGTAAAAATTTGCAAAGCCCAGGAAACTTTGTAGTTGCTTTCTTGTGCGGGGTGGCGCCCAATCTAATACTGCTTTGACCTTCTCTGGGTCCATTTCAATGCCCTGTGGGGATATGCGATAGCCTAGGTAGTCTATCCTTTCCTGGTGGAATTCGCATTTTGAGAGTTTGGCATATAGGTGGGCGGCTCGCAGCTTCTTTAAAACCGCTCTGACAAGGTTGACGTGTTCCTCTTTTGTTTCAGTAAAGATAAGAATGTCGTCCAAGTAAACAAGGACCCCCTTAAACAGGTGCTCCCTTAGAACGTCATTGATTAATTGCATAAAGACTGCAGGGCCCCCTTGTAGTCCAAATGGCAAGACTTTGAATTGATAGCACCCCATGGGGCAGTTAAATGCAGTCTTCCATTCGTCCCCTTCCTTAATTCTTACGCGATAGTAAGCTTCCCTTAGGTCTAGTTTAGAAAAAAATTTTCCCTTTCGATAGGTGTGACAGCATGTCTTTCATGAGGGGCAGCGGGTATAGGTTGCTTTCACTGATTGTATTCAGGGCCCTATAATCCACGCATAAACGTAAAGAGCCATCCTTCTTCTCTCTAAAAAGGACCGGGGCAGCCACTTTAGGCTTGGCTGGCTCAATGAAACCTCTCTCCAGGTTTTTTTTTATAAATCTTTCCATTTCCTCCTTCTCCTTTGGGCTCATGGAGTATAATCTGGGCTTCGGGAGTTTTGCCCCAGGCTTGAATTCAATGGTACAGTCTGTGGGTCGGTGGGGGGGAAGCTCATTCGCCCTCTCCTCACTGAAGACTTCAGCAAGGTCCCTATATTCCTCTGGTATTTCTGTTAATCTTTTTTCCTCTCCTATGGATGCTTTTTCTATTCTTGATTCTGGTAGCCTCCCTTGGGGTTTTAAGTCCATAGGGTCCCCCTTCGGGAATTTGATTTCTGTCGTCCTCCAATTTACCCAGGGGTTCCATTTTTTCAACCATTCCATCCCTAGAATCATTGGGCATTCCATACCTGGGGTCACCACAAACGTTAAGTCCTCTTCATGGTTGCCCAGGGAGAGATGTATTGGCAGAGTGGCTAGGGTAGCTGGCACCCCCCCTGCTATGGATCCATCTAGCTGGCCAAATGAGATTGGTTGTTCCAGTCTCCTGGATGGGATGCCCAGATTCCCCACTAGTGTTGGGCTAATGAGGCAGCGGGTGCAGCCAGAGTCTATTAAGGCTTTCACCTTCACAGCTTCGGGCATGGGGGGGATTAATATAGTCACTGTTTTGAAGATGGGTGTGATGCATCCACTTACCAGGGGTTCGCCCTCCGAGCTGTCATCTGAGGCATCCACCGGCCCTGTGGTGTAGGCTGGAGTTCTTTCCCCTTGGTGAGCAGAGGTGGGGGTTTCTGCAATTTCCATCATTCTCATGGCTGTTTCTTTTGGCTTAGCTGAATACTTTCCGGGTTTGTTGATTGGGGATCTGTCTGGGTTGTGCTGGGGGGCCTTTGAGCGGCATTCTACAGCTCGATGCCCTTCTCTTCCGCACTTGAAACACCCCATTTGCTTCTTGGCTGTATCCGATGATTTCACCGGTTGGTGTGTCAGCTCAGGCGGGGGGCGGCTCCATTGTTTTCCTCGGCGGTGCCTCTTCAATATGTCGATCTCTGCTTCCTCTGCCAAGACGTACCATTCCTCAAGTCGATGTGGGTCCCCTCGGGGCAGGCAAGCATCATATAGATCATAGTTTAGTCCGTCTTTGAAATGGCCAAGGAGGATGTCTTCTGGCCAATTCAGTTTGCTGGCAATGGCCCGGAATTCTTGTGTATACTCAGCCACTGGGCGTTTGCCTTGCCTCATCGTTGTTATTCTTTCACGGGCTTTGCGATCAGCCAGGGGGTCTTCAAATCGTCTTCTCAAAGAGGACATGAAACGGTTGAAGTTACTGAGTTCTGGGGCATTGGAGTCATGCAAGTTCACTACCCAATCCGCAGCTGGTCCATCCAGGGCAGATTGCACGATCCGGATGCGGGCTTTGTCGCTGGGAATGTCCTGCCCATATTCCTCCATGTAGCTGAGGACTTGGGTTAGGAAAAACCCCAAGCGTGTTGGCTCCCCTTTGAATTTCACCTCCAACGGTGGACGTCTTGGAATGGATCGGTGCCTCCATTGTTGGTGGTAGTGTCTTCCGTCCAGATTGCCATCTGTGGTCCGGTAGGGGGTGGGGGCTCCTGGATCAGTAGATGTCCCTGGGGTTGCAGGTTCCACGTCCCCCTCGGTGTCTCTCCCTTTGTGGCTCCAGGAACTGGGGCGGCCGTAGGGCTCAGTATTCTCCTCTCCTAGGGAGCTGAGAGTTCTCTTCATCAGGTCAATAGCTTTCTCTAGGATCCAGTCTGAGTACGGTGCCCAGCTTCCTCCCTCTTCACTTGCGTGCAGGGATTTCTCCATCTCCTGCTTCCATTCTGGTTGCTTGGTCCCCCGTCTCAGGGTCACCTTTCTTGATTCCTTTCTCCACTCACTTTTCTTTCCAACGCCCATCGACCAGCGAGGCTTGTGGTCCTGTGTCTCCACCACTTCTTCTCCTGAGGAATCTGGCCTCTCGGATCCCAACATCTGGCAAGGTTCCAACTGGGTCAGCGGCTCTCTTTCCAGGGAGTTTTCCCCCTCTCTTGCTCCATTGTCTGACATGGTAAATTTTTGCAAAATCCCCCGGCAAGGGTCTCCCTTCCAGGTGGATTAATTTTGCAAGTCCTGTCTAATGTAAGGACCCACCCCACTTTGCATCTTAAGAAGACAGAACTCTTGGAATAATTCTTCCAACAGGAATCCTTTATTAAGAGAAAATGGTTGCAGGCATGCTAGACAGGACTTGGGGTTCAAGCTCTCCCATTCAAGGTTTTAAGGGGTTCCCCAGTAGTCCCACCCAATCAACCCCCCTTCCAGTGATAGCTTCAAGTATCACAATTCCACCCCCTTTCTTCTTTCTTCCGTCTGGATGGAGACTTCAGATAACTACATGAAAGGCAAATACCCTTCCTTGTTATGGTAATGTTCTTGGTTGCTAACACTTTGAGGTTATAATAAACATACATTCAGCATTCAGCTCTTTGAAGTCTACTGAAGGAAGTGAGGGCCATAAAGCCCCTTTGTTCTCCCCCTTCTCTCCCTCTTATGGCAGAATCCAGAGAAGGCAGAATTGGGGTTTTCTATGTTTGATAATTAAAGATGAAATATAATTGGATTCTGACACCGGTCTGATGAAGACATTTCTCAAGAAGGCACTAATATCACTGGGGCTATATGGACAATTGGAGGAGAACCTCTAAAGACAATGTCAGTGAAGAGGTGGGTCTTTCCAAGAAAATCCAGGGTAAGTCTGGATTCTTAGTAATAGCCACTGAGTAATAGCCCAAAATGATTTTTCTATCTTAAAATGTGCTGTAGCAAAGTACACTAGACATATGACAATATTTAATTTTCTGTAGAAAGCATTCTGTAAATGTTAGGGTTTTTTTAGCAACTAGAAAAAGGAGGTGAACTCTAATAAATATGAAGGCTTTAGCAATTTTTCTTTAAATAATATGAAAATAAAGATAGTTTACAAAAGGGTTGTGGCACATTGATTCCAAGATTTTACGTTTCCTTTTTGTGGCAGGTGAATATAGGCTTTTGGGGCCAAACCTAAAAATGCCTCTTGCTGACTGACCTCTGCTTCCTTCTTCTTTCTCAGAGCTGTGTATTTGGTGCGACATAAAGAGACCCGCCAGCGTTTTGCTATGAAGAAGATTAATAAGCAGAACCTCATCCTGCGCAATCAGATCCAACAAGCCTTTGTAGAACGTGACATTTTGACTTTTGCAGAGAACCCCTTTGTGGTCAGCATGTTCTGCTCTTTTGAAACTAAGCGATACCTGTGCATGGTCATGGAGTATGTTGAAGGTATGCAGTCTCAGAATTTGTTCGGGTTGGTACCTATGAGATGCAAGGTTTTTATGACAGTCTTTATCCAATATCGTGCAAGAGTTATGTCATGTTAGCAGTAATCCATGGAAATCAGTTGGGTTGATATGCCCTACATACAGGTTATTTACAGCTTTATCCAAACTGGACACCAAATACATTAGACTTCAACTTTTCTAATCTCCGATTTGGACATAGGCAGTACTGATTGCAGCATTATAGGCAAACTCGGTCTGTTTGGAAACAGCTGATTTGAAAAGGCTGCATTAGGATGCTGAATTTTATAAAGAACATACTATGTTTAACAGCATATTGTTTGTAAGAACTCCTAAAGAATATAACAAATATCTTAATAAACATAATAATGAATAGTAATGAAAGTACTATTATCAGTAAATAGATTGCCTACAAGAATGATAGTTAGGAGGTGGGCATAACTTAGTACTTAAACAGGTGTCTTATATAGAGAAGAATTTATGTTCATTGCCTGAAATGCTCAGATAAGGTGAGGGACGATTCTGCCTGCAACTCTGTAAATCAGCTATTCCATTTGGGTAGATGCTCTTGAGCTAGCTTACCTAACATATTGACATAATACAATTTTCCAGATTGGAAATTATGACTATTGCAGTTGTCCACTTCCAGATATGTACCTCTTTAGGTTGCGCAGAGCTATCTGAGGGTTATGGTCTAATGTCCTGTTGAAATTCATTGATCATGTGATACAACCTCTCAAAGAAGATGAAAAGACTCAGTTCTGACTTTGCAGGATCATACCAGAGAATACTTGAAGAACGTTAAGAGCCGAGATAAAAAAAATATGAAGAGGATACTTCTGGATTAGTATCCAATAATTTCCTATCTTCACCAATAAGTTTGGGACATTGACAAGTTCATTTTTTTTTCAACTAGCCTTTTTGGTTGGACTTGAAAATCAAATGACAAAAACCTTTGAGAACTTGGCACAGGTTTTCCATACCTGATTAAACTGGGTAGCTAGCAGCAAGGAAGACAAGACTGATGCTGTAATGCAGCCAGCCCCATAAGCCTCTCTTTCTAGGACATTACAGATTCCCTCATTCTCATGTGATTCATGTTCTGGTCTGGTCTATTTGGATCTCTTTTAATCCAGTGTATGCCTGGAAAGCATCTGAAAATGCAAATTAGTCTTAATTCACCAAGAGTTATATAATGACAATGAATTTGCCTTAAATGTATTAGTTTTAAGGCAAGACCAAATTCCTTGTCATTATATAACTCTTGGTGAATATATATGCATCCTTCATTAACCAAATAAACATAGGTCAAACTTTGAGAAGAGTTTTCCAACAGTTGCAGTTAATCCTGTTGATATCACTTTCTAAGGATGATGTATCAGTTTCTCACTCAAGAAAAAAATCTTCTTAGGATTCTTTTTTGTATTCAATTGCTTGTCCAGTTTTAAACTGAAATAGGTTATAGAAGACATGATTGTGAATTTCACAAGACATTTCAGCATCCTTTTTGCAATGAAGAAATTAAGGTTTGAAATCCAGGGATCATGCAGGCCATTAATACAGTCCATAATTATTATCCTACAAATTATGTGTAAATAAGATAATAAAAGAGGCCAGGGAACAAAATGAACAGATGATGAGAGTTATAGAAGAGAAAGTTGAGTTTAATTGTTAAAAGCAATTAATTACATCTAAAACAGGAAAAACTAACTGGGCAATTACATAAAAAAGGAAGAAAAGAAATATAGAAGGAAGATAAGGACTACAGAGAACTGAGTGAATTATTTCCATCTGTCTTCCCCCTAGAAGATATAGGACAGAAAACTACATGAACTGATACTTTCAGGAAGTAAGTCTGAGGCATGGACCCTTGTGGCAAAAAAGATATAGTTCATAACATCTCACAGGCTTTACTAGGAGAGGGTTGAAAAATAGCCAGAGGGAAAATATCTGGGTAAATGAGAATCTGGGGGATTTCAAGTCAGTTAGGTTAATGTAAATCACAGATAAATTGCTGGAAAACATGGCTACCAACCTAATTGTCAAGTATATAGGATAGGTTTTCCCGAAGAAGAATTAACATGGCTGGAGAATATTAGCAAACATGTTGTAGAACTTAACAAGTAGATGTCAGCGCTGCTAACATCAGATGTTCTTTGACAACAGATGAAAATGCAGCCATTTTCTCTATGCTTTTAGAATTAGTTGGTGCTGGGAGGGGGGATTGGAATGAGAGTTTAGTTAGTCATAATAATAATAACTCTGCCCTGGGAATCTAAGGACAAACTGGGTCCAGAGCTGATAACGTTTTGGCGGGCTGGAGAGCTGGGGAGAAAGCCTGTGCTTCAAGCTACTTGGGGAATGTGATTTATGACTGTTTATTGGGGGTGGGAATTGTACTTTGTTACCTTGTATCCAGGGGAGGGGAATTCAGTTTTTGGATTCAACTATGTAATGCCAATACTTTGTTTCCTGAATAAAAGATTCTTTAAGGAAAACAATGCCTCAAAGTTCTTTTGAAGGGTTTCATCTGTCAGAATCATGACAGTAGATACCACTTACTTGGACTTTTGGATAACTTTTGATAAAGATTCCTGAGAAAATTGAACAATTATGGGGTAAAAGGTGAATCCACTTAAGGCTTAGTAACTGGCTGAAAGAAAGAAAAAAGTAGAGTTTGTGTAGCCAGTGCATCTGTATGTGGGATTGGTGCTTTTAACTTGTTCATAAATTAGGTGATGACAGCAAAGTGGCAAGTTTGCTAATAATGTTGGATTATTTAAGTTGGCAAATTAGGAAAAGGAACAATGAAAAAAGCAGAATATAAGCAAATATAAAATTATGCCTGCTGATTATAAAAGTTCCCATTTCAATAATGGGGACTGAGTTGGGTTTGCATAACCTATAAGTAGTAGCTAATAATACAGATCTCCACATAGGTTGTTGATAAATTATGAGTTTTGTTCCACAAAATGAAGTATGGATGTTAACCTTGATAGCTTAAAAAGCCTATTCAGGTGTGCAAGGCCTAATATGGCATAGACCTAAGCTACCTGGAGGCCACCTACTCCCATGCAATTGGTTCTATATTTTTGGTGGGACATTTTTTTCAGGTCTTGCCTCCAAAATGTTCACAACTGATAGCCAAGCCAGCTTTTTCTATGGCAAGGCAACTGTAGTTGAGGTTGTTTATTAAATTACATTTTAATAGGGTTCACAACTTCTATTCTGAGTTTTGATGCTCTTGACAGTGGACTTTGTGCCACCCTGAAACATACAGGAATGGATAACACATAAATTTGTAAAATGTTACAATTGTTTTTTAGGTAGGAAGGAAGGTAAATTTGTTGATAGGTTGTAATTGGTCAAATTCATGGAGAATAAGGCTAACAGCATCTATTTACCATATTGCTATGAGCCCAGAATTTTGACTTACCATAATAATAAACCAGTATGCACCAATAATTGAGAATCCCCCCCCCCAAATTCTGGCTTAGCAGGCCTTCTGAACTACACTGTTATCTCCCATTTTTAGATAACATCTGATTACAATATGTTTTTGTTTGTGGGTTTCCTATAAGTCTCCAGAATTCTTGAGATTGCAAGTTTTGGTCAAAGAACTGGAGAGAGTCATAGTCTAAATAGAACAACATTCTAGCCATCTTCCTAACCATTTCACCTTTCTCCTAGCAGGTGGGGATTGTGCAACATTGTTGAAGAATATTGGGGCTCTGCCTGTAGAAATGGCCCGCATGTACTTTGCTGAGACTGTCTTGGCCCTGGAGTACCTGCACAACTATGGCATCGTCCATCGTGACCTCAAGCCTGACAAGTATGAAATTAAAAGACAAGGCCTGTCTTTAGTTGTATTTAGGAAGTGGCTGTGGTTGGTTCTCTCTGATGTTTATCCCTCTGCTTTCTCCACAGCCTACTTATCACTTCCATGGGACATATCAAGTTGACAGACTTTGGTCTTTCCAAGATGGGGCTGATGAGCCTTACCACAAACCTGTATGAAGGTCATATTGAGAAGGATGCCAGGGAGTTTCTAGATAAGCAGGTGGAACCCTGATTAAATCTATTTGTAAAGGGGTGCTGCACATATATTAAATGTGAAAAAGGCAGATATTCAAAAAGCTAAAGCTGTCAGAAAAAAATGCATGAGAATAGTGATGCATTATTTTATTATTGATTTATTTGATTTTTATCCCATTGTTAGTAGTAACTCAAGATGGCAAATATACCTAATATTCCTTTCTCCTCCTGTTTTCTCCACAACAACAATCCTGTAAGGTGGGTTGGTCTGAAAGAGAATGACTGGCCCAAAGTCACCCAGGTGGCTTTGATACCTAAGATGGGGCTAGAACTCATGGTTTTTAGGCCATGCTGAATCAATGAATATATCTATAAATCTAGTAGATTTTCCATTCTGGGTTTTTTTATTCCAGCTCTGAGGTTATGTACTTTCAACTGAAATACAGTAATGGAAAAAGTTATAAAGTATTACACAGTCCTTATGCCATTTGAATGAGGTCTAGGGGGACAAAATACAAGATAATATAAAATGATATTACAACTGACAGCTATCTTTTTCATTTTTTAATATCTGTTGGCAATTTTAAATCAAACTATTTGGCACACTGACTTTTTAATGGTCAAAGAAAATCTTTGTTTACTGCTTCACGTTGACAGATCTGTGCCTCTATACTTAGGAAAAAAACACAATCTCAAATTGTGTTATATGTAAGAGAGAAAGTTATAGTGCTTCCCATATTTAACTGAACCAATTAACACTATGCACTGCAAATTCTGAGATACCTGGCACTCGGTGGATCAGTATTTCTGACAGCTGAATAAAGACAAGTATCTTAACAGGTGTGTGGAACCCCCGAATACATTGCCCCTGAGGTGATCCTTCGCCAAGGTTACGGGAAGCCAGTGGATTGGTGGGCCATGGGCATCATCCTCTATGAATTCCTGGTGGGCTGTGTACCATTCTTCGGAGACACTCCCGAAGAGCTCTTTGGCCAGGTCATCACTGGTACGTGGGGGCAAGTGTTGCTTCTCTTAGGGGCTCATTGGTTACTTGCTTTAGAACTTGTTCCAAGCGTGCAGCGTCCATCATACATGCTTGGCTGGGGAAAAGTTAAACAGGGTCAGTGCTGGTGAGTACTTGGAACGGGAGACCAGGCAATCCTTAGGTGGATTTTAAACTAAACTGACAAGTCAAAAAAGGAAAAAAGTAGAGGACTTTACTTTTGCTCAGAAGACAACGTGGGCATTTCCACGAAGCCGCAGGTTCTTCTCAAAGGAGGCTTTTCCTTTAGATATGAAATGGGGGAAGTGAAAAAGCATCATGAAATTATGAGTGAAGCATTGTGTAGAACCAATGTTTGAGATGCAACTCCTGCTGTCGTATAAACATAAATTACATCATGTGCTGCAGCCTTGGTAGAAGGAGCTATTTTTATATTCCCCCCCCCCCATTTTGGAGTCTCTTTGACCTGATCTGCTTTCTCAAGCGCCACTGTTGGATTGCAATAGCCTGTCTTTATTTCCTTGCTTTCAGATGACATCTTGTGGCCAGAAGGAGAGGAGGCGCTCCCCTCAGATGCTCAGCATCTGATCTCTTGCCTCCTGCAAACCAATCCTCTTCTCCGCCTGGGAGCAGGTAAGGTCAGACGAGAGAGCGAATGAGCTGTGGGTACAGCCTTCCCACTCATAAGGAGAGAGGTTGTTTTCTTCCCTCTGAAATGTTACCGCCTTGAGCATTAAAGGGTTGACTAACTATGGTCATAGCAAGCATTTCCAGTTCCCCATCCTTTCTCTCCATAAACTATCTCTGGCAGCAGGATCCAGATTTCTTAGCTAAGCACTAGGGTAACTGCTCGGCTCATTCTTTAGGATGATTTTTGGTCTTGTCCAGTAGAGGGCAGCAGAACCTTGTTTTCCTTCTTTTACGTAGGTGGTGCCTATGAAGTGAAACAGCATGCATTTTTCAAAGAACTAGATTGGAATGGGCTTCTGAGGCAGAAAGCAGAGTTCATCCCTCATCTGGAATCTGAGGAAGACACCAGCTATTTTGACAGCAAGTGTTAACCTTCTCTCCCTCCCTCAACCTGAATATTTTGGTTAATAGTTTGAACTCGGCTGAAGACAATTAACCAGCTATCCCTGACCATACACCTTTGAATCAGGATCACTAGCCTTGCTTTTATAGAAAAGAAACCCCATATTTTTGTGGTTTTGTTTCCTCTCTTGATACAGTAGCAGCTATGAATGAGCAATATTCATAAGGACCACAACTAGCGGGGGGTGAGGGGAAGGCTATGCAGCTTAGTGGAAGGATTCTTGTTTGCCAAGCAGAATAGCTACCTAATATTTCCAGGAAAGACTGGAAAATGATGTTTCTTCACCTTGGCAACCTTACGATGTCTGGACTTCAACTCTCAGAATCCCCAACCAATAGTCCTTGACTTACAACCACAACTGAATCCAGAATTTTACTCATAGGTCATTGCAATCATAAGGTGCTACATGACCGGACTCTATTTTATGACCATTTTTACAATGATCATTAAATGAATCACGGGGTCATAAAGCCAAATTGGCTTATCCAATAGGCAGTTTTTGTCAGAAAGCAGCAATAAAAGATCACAAAACACGATCGTACGACTGGTCATAAATGTGAGCCATTGCCAAGTGCCTGAAATGTGATCCCATGATCACGGGAATAGTGCAGCAGTTGTAACTTTTTTTTGAGTCTGTCATAACTTTGTACAGTTGTTAAGCAACTGTTCAAGTCAAGGACTACTTGTAAAAGTTGTTAATTTTGAAAGATTCTTTCCTAGTTGGCAACTGGCAGTCAGTGACAGTGCTGAGTCAAGGTTCTGGCACTGTGAAAAGACACTGCTTCTATTCCTGAATTTTTTTTAAATAATATCTATTTACTTCTCTGTCTGATATTTGATGCTGACTGTCTTGTGAAAACAAGATCTCTTAAATTCCGACAAGAGAAATATTACTTTTATTATTCTTGTAGTTCAGTCGGTTATGAGCCATTAAAGGGGAACTGTTTCTAGACATATGGGTACAGAGATTTTGTTTACCTAAGGCCACTTAAGTAGTGGGCACAGGAAAGCAAAATTATTGGGCTAAGTCCAAGACATTACCCTAACATGGGTTTCTGTGAGCTTCATGAGCTCTTCTTTCTCATTTTAGCCCGCTCTGATCGTTACCATCACATTAATTCCTATGATGACGAAGATACGACTGAAGATGAACCAGTGGAGATTCGCCAGTTTTCATCTTGTTCTCCCAGATTCAGCAAGGTAAAGCCCTTACTTACTGCAGTTCTTCCTGAGAGCCACTTTGGTGTTGACAATGAAGGATTAAGACAAAAAAACAGGAGGCCCTGGCTCCCTTAGGCGTGAAAGTCTTCCCTTAGGCATGAAAACTGAGTTTTAGGCCAGTCCACACATCCCCCCTCCAATCAGATCTGACTATTGTGGAGAAAATAAGAGGGCAGAGCATACATTATGCTCCTTCTTCTTATTTTCTCCACAATAGTCAGATCTGATTGGGGGGGGGCACGGACTGGCTAAAATTCACCCAGTCAGTTGTACAAAATAAAAATGGGCTTAAAATCTAATAATAAATAAGTTTGATTTGTAACATCTTTGCACCAATGCTGTAGAGTACATATAAAGAGCAGGGATGGGCATTTTGTCACCCATCCAATCATTTAGAGCAGGCGTCCCCAACCTCTACTGGGTTGTGGCCTATTTGGAATTGGGCCATGTGAGTGGCTGGCCGGAGCATGTGTGCAGCTCATCACAAATGAGCAGCGGGTCAGCAGGCACTTGTGTGTGTGTGTGCCAGTCTGCCACTCGTGCAAGTCAAGCTGCATACCTGTGCATTGGCCCAACATTTGCACAAGGGCTGTGTGCACACGCACAGGGGCACATGTTGTCCTACCACTCATGTGGCCCAATTCCCCTCTCCCCCTTCCCCAGCCGGGCCACCAAGCCACTAAGTTTGGGGACTGCTAGTTTACAGCACAACTTGGAGAGTGCCAGATTCATAGCATCACTGAATTAAAAAAAGGGTTAGGGCAACTAAAAGTTGCTATCTGCTTTGTAAGAACAATGGGGTGTGTGAACAGGTTACAAACAGTTCCCAGTAAATCCAAACCAGTAACTATAATTAGTTGTTTCCAATAAAGCCAAGATAGGGAAGCCAATTTTGAGCCACAATACCTTAGATTCATATCCTGGTTTATTCACCTGCATTTTATTTATTTATTTTTATTATATTTGCATAGCCGCCCATCTCACAAGACTATTTTTCTGTTTTTAAAGTGCATATTTAAATTTTTTAAGTTAATAAATAGTGCCTCAAAATCTGAAGTCAAGATTGATTCATCTATACATCCAGTGCTGAAATGTGCAGACACTTGAATAGTTCTGTGAAATGCTTGATGCTTCTGCTGCTTTTATTATTAGCCTGCCCTGTCCAAAAGATTATACAAGGTTGAAATGAAAACAGATTATGTCTGAAGTTTACATCATGAATATGCAGATATTTTATGTTGCAGTGTTAAAAGAGGGCTAAGGAAGCATGGATTGGGGATAGTTGTCCCACAATCCTATGCGATACTCACATATAAGTTGCCGTGTGTCTGTGTTTTCCTACCTCCATGTTTGTAATCTGTGTCTGAGAGGAGAACAGTTTTAGGAGATGGGGAGGGGAGCTTAATTTCTCTGGCCCTGCCCAATTCTCTACGTCAGGTCTCCCCAACCCCTGGTCTGTGGACCTGTACTGGTGTGCAGCCTATTGGGAATTGGAACGCATAAGTGGTGAGTGACCCTGTGAAGCCTCATTTGTGCATGCGCAGGATCTAGGTTGCACATGCAAAACCATCCCCTCCCGCTGCCACTGCTGCCTCCACCATCACCGCCGGTCCATTGAGCCAGAAAGGTTGGGGGCCGCTGCTCTAGATGACTTCTTATTGGGATTTTTCTTCCTCCTTGATAGGTGGAAAAAGTAGTTTGGATTAGACTGGAAAGTGGCAGAATTGTCCAACAGGAGGGTGTGAGGTCCCATCGTTATTTCTTGTGTTGGGGAGACGGTTTTTATTCCTATCTTGGGAATGGAGTTGAATTTGAATAGGATTGGGACTGGATTGTATCATATATTTTCCACTAATATTTCTGATTAGATTGGTTCAGCCCATCTCTTTCCTCTTCTTCTTCGTCCCATTACTCCAGGTGTACAGCAGTATGGAGCACCTCTCCCAGCATGAGCAAAAGACTCCAAGTGTCACCAAGCGAGACCAGAGCAACAAGCACAAGGATGACAGACTTAGCAAACGGGAAAGCCTTGGCAGCTTCACACTTCGGGACAAGAACTGGCGCACCAGCTCTCCAGAAATGTGAGTCTCACCTGGGCTGTTCTGTAGTGACTGTCCCTCTCCCAGGCCAGGAAGATTATATTTAGGGAGCGGCTGGGGAGACAAAAGATTTGAGGGGCTCCTTGGGAAGACTGGTGAGCTGCTGTTGCTACTCAGCAACAAGGGATGGCAGGTCTCTTTCTGAGAGTTCACCTCCTTGATGATATGGCAGTGGAAACTAACACTTTTGGCACTGAGAAAATGGATCATAATATCTAGCATAATCAGCAGCAGCTTGGTTTATATGTGTGTGTAAGAGAGGGAGAGAACATGAAAGGTGCGAAAAGTGTTGCTTTTCGTTTGTACATGTTTTCTTGTTTCAAAAAAAATTGATTGAAAAGTAAAAAGAACTCAGTCAAAATGTGTTTTGACTAATAGAAATCGAAACGATCTGTCCCAGTAAAACCTAGATGATTTTTCAAGAAGAAAAATAATGATAAAATGTAATAAATGTTACATTTGTTTATTAAGAGAGAAGGTCATTTTAAAAGATCTTGTTTATTCACACAGTATTAATTCTGAAGATGCAAAGCAGCCAAAAAGAAGGAGGAGGAGAGTTCATGGACTCAGTTTGAGCCACATTGATTACAATTTGTTATCACTGACTAAGGCAGAACCAAATTAAGATTCAGTGAACCAGTCCTGATGAAACTTGTGGACTTCAGTTAACCCTGCCAGAATTTTTCATTAACAAGCTTTGGCCCAAACGTATCCAGGCTAAGCCAGTTTGCTCACTTCTGTCCTACAGGAAGCAACTCTCAGCCTCCGAGTCATCCTACACTGAGAGTGATTCGAGTCCCCCACTGGGAGCCCGGCGGCGTTTCTCAGCACTGATGGACACCAACCGTTTTGCTGTGCCACTGGAAAGTGACAATGAGATACCTGGCAAGGGACCACCGAAGGCCCCTGTAGAAAATGGGTCTGTAGGACCCACCCCTCAGTCTGAAGGCAAGGAGACCAAGGAGGGAGCAGGAGATGTTGCACAGTGTCCAGCTCCTGTGGAGACTGAGGCAGGTGAGTACAGACTATGGCAAGGTAGGTAGCCGTTTGCAAAAACCCGTGACTTTGATAGGCTAAGAAAAGTAGCCACAGTCAAAGGTTTCCTACATTTGTTGCAGGATCTCTGCATTTGGCTTAAACCAGTTTTTGGTCCGTCGTCATTCTTTTCACCTCTTTTTTCTAGGCCACAAATCCCTCACCCTTCCAATCTCTAGGGAGGAGTAGCATTCTTGGTCAAAGTGATCTCATTTCTCTGGAAGTACTGGATAGCACAGCACCTGGAGAGTGTAGCTTGAGTCACCTTTGACTGTTTCCAGGCCCTCAGGTTTCATTTCAGTATTTACCTGAAATGTCTATTCAGAGTCTGGTAATCTTTCCAGTAGATATTACAACCTGAACGCCCAGATGCCAGCAGGTGTGGGGATTCAACGATTTCTTCCCCAGCATAGGCATCTGTTTGGAAGAAAGAGTAATTTTCCAAAATGCCTGCTGCAGGTTTGGCTTGAGAAAATGCATATTTTTGCCCTGCCTCCCACTCCCTGGTAGCACAGCTGTTGCAAGAAGTGCATGTTCAAGCAATGTTATCAGAATAGTGGCAATGGATATTAAATTTGGCCTGTTATTGTGATGCCTAAGGCAGGAATTGTGCTCACATGCACAAATACACCCAGAGATGGAAGATTTTGAATCTCTAAGACTATTGCTTCACTTTACTTTTGAGAGGGATGACTTAATTGGATAATGCCTTCAAACTTTAGTGGTACCGAGTGACACAACTGTTCCTTTTATAATTGCATCTTTATGTATGTATGAAAGCTTTCATGCTGCCTTACTTCTGCAGAAGTAAGAGAGTGCCCACTTCATATTAGCAACCCTAAAAAGACAGTGTCCCTTCCTTAAGCAATGCTCCTACAGCCATTTTATTTTATTTTATCTTAATCGTGTTTATTTCCCTTTAGCAGATTATGTATTTGTGATTTAGTTTTAGAGGGACTTGTATCCTTCCCAAACCATTTTATTTTCAGTATAATGGCATTTATTTTGCACAGTTGAGTTTTATATCATAAACAAAAGGTTGGAACTACATGTTATCATCAAGTGCTGCTAAGAAAGGTATGTCTTAATGTGGAAAAGAGAACTAGGAGACATGCTTAGTAAGAAACTCTGCACAGTACAAGCTCTGCCTCCTGTCTGAACAGGAGGTCTGTTCTCCATTGTGCTTGGCTTTTGATTCCTCACCTGGTTCCTCTACACTACAGCAATAGACTGCTGAATTGTAAGTGCTTAGTGCCTCCAAACATTACTGTACTGGATTTGGAAATCCCTGAAGGGTAGGTTGCAGTTGGAATTTCCCAACCTATCAAACTCCAGCTCTGCTTTACGAATGCCCTGAGAACCGATACAGAGATGGTTCTGATCTTCGTGGAACAGAGCCACTTGCGAGGCACAAACCACTTCATAAGATCCTTCGTGATTTTATTGAGTCCCAAGCGGGATAAACAGGACACATTCCATCCCTTTGCATGCTATCTAAGAGGCCAGTGAAAAAGCAAGGTTTCTAAGAGTTTAGCAGCCCAAGAATCTAAATGCACAGCTTGGACTCTGTGGCAACCTAGGTTGTGCAACAGCCCCTTCTTTCAGACCACGAGACTGTACTGCTCATGAAGAGCATTCTTGGGAGTTTAGCAATAGCAATACCAAGGCAAGCACGTTTCAATGTTTAAAGGGTCAGCCATCATTTGTCATTCCTTTTCATAACACTCCTATTAGTATGTGGACCAGAAACTTAAGCTTAAGCCTTTCAGGTTACATGATAAGGCAAAGAAGGCCTCGGTGTACATGCACACAAACAGGCACATGGACACATATCATAATCTCAACTTTGTATTGAATCCTGCTACCTGCTGCATTATATTTCCCAGAATGCTTTGATGATGCTGGCTGGGAGTTCTGAAACAACACATGGACAGCACCAGATTGATGGAGGCTATTGTTGTGGGAAGGGTTTGATGAGCAGCATTATGGATTATTTGCCAACAGTCCTTCAAAGAACGGAGGTGGATCTGTAGTACTCCCAATGCCCTCGGTAGGGTGGTGGTGATGGTGGGCAGTTCATGTGGTGGTGTCCTGTGGCTCTTGCTTGGAGGTGGGGGTCCCTGAGTGTGGTCCTGTGATCTAGGGCTTGAGTCATCATCCCTCTCTCTCCCCTCCCCAATAGGCGATAAATCAAAAGCGGGTGAGCTACAGCCCCCCAAAGAGCTGGACCCATCTGCCCCCAGAGCTACCAATGACTTGGTGCTGCGTCGCGCCCGGCACCAACAGCTCTCAGGGGACACCGCCACGGCTGAGAAGCGCAGCTCCCGCACAGGGGGCAAGGTCATCAAATCTGCCTCAGCTACTGCATTGTCGGTCATAATCCCCACAGGTACGCCCCTCCTCCTCCTCTTCATCCCTCCCCCCACACACAACACCCAGACCCCTAGAAATGGCATCCTCCTTTGAGCCTGACCCGCCCACACTCACTTAACACCCTCCAGTCACCTTCTGTCTTTGCCCCACCAGGCTATGCACCACACAGACCACTGGCCTAAGACCCTCCTCTCTTGCGCTGTGTTCCCTTCATCCTCCTGAGCACTGAACTCCTCTAGATTCCCCATTTCCTTGGTACAGGGATTCTCTCTCCCCCACTCTAATAGGAATCGATACCGAATTTGTCTTCGGTAGAGTCCCCATAATGGTTGTCTTGTGGCTTTGCATGATCTATTCCACCCACCCACCTACCCACCCAACCCGCCCTTTGGTTCTTCTAGCGTAGTTGCTGGGCTGTGTGTATTCTGCAAAAAGCCTGTCACAATAGAAGTGGGATGCTGCAACCTTTTGTAGGGTTTAGGTAAATGAAGCAGATTTGCTTGATAGAATGTTCTTTGCATGGCTGATATTTCTGTTCAAATCCTCTGCTTCTGTTACTTATGAGAAGAGGTAAATAAGCTAGGGGGAGGCACCCCAAACCTCCTCACCTGACCGGTAGCAAGAACCCGAATTCAGTGATACCCACTAAGATCTCACTTGGTGCACATTCAGTTGTATCTAGTCATCAACGGCTAGAAATTGGAAGGCCGAATTTTGTGCCAAGGTAGCCTATGTGCAGCTTAAAAATGCACCATACACGCAGCCCTCGTAGTTGCCTGTATGTGTCAGTGGTTAATACTATGTACTTGAGAGTGACCCGAAATATCCCAATGATGCATTACTTGGGGAAACATTTCCCTTTCCAGCTAGAAAAACACATGCAAGTAATCCTCGATTTATGACTGGCTGCTTAATGACCATTCAAAGTTATGATAGATTTCTCTCCCCCCCCCCCAAGATACTTATGAGCTGGTTTCAAAGTTGCTGCTGCTGCAGTGCCCTCACCATTGTTTATCCTTACAATCGACCACAGGGATATCCCACCTATCTCCCTCACCCATCCCACTGGGTCCCGGCAAGGCTTGGCCTGTTCCCAAGCCAGCCACTCGGCCACAAAAGGAAGCCTAAAGCCACTTAGCAGAAGTGACCAGCACAGGGAGGAGCCCGGTCAATGCAAAGCTCAGCTCAGCTTTCTCTACGCTATTCTGCAAGCAAATAGTACTTCTCTCAAGATTGTAAGGGGGTCTGTTTTTTCAAGGAGGCTCCACAAACTACACCAGCAAATGGAACCTTGTTACAGGCCATTGCAACATAATGGGCAGGTTCCATCATGGTCATAAGTCGAGGACTATCTGTACTGGATTTTATTTACCTCTGGAGCCTGCACAACGCTTAGCCCTGTCTCACTAGACACCTCTACTGACCAGCTCTTAAGGTTACCTGTCCTCCAGTAGCCCCCCCTCCTCCCTCAAAGTATTCTAAATTCTGTACCACTCCTATGCCAATGTGTCCTGGGGGCTGGCAGAAAATAATAAAGAGGGTAAAGCTAGGCTGGTGCCAAGCCCCACAAGAAACTGATCTCCAGTTAACTACAGCAGGGAAGCAAAGAGCCCTGTGGTGTACTTGTCCTCTGTGTCCATGGAAAGCATCTTGCGTTATAACCTCTTAATTTTCTTTTTTTTCTCTCTCTCCTTTCAGTGGAGCAGCACAGCAGCTCACCCCTGGCCAGCCCAATGTCTCCCCGATCACTCTCCTCTAATCCTTCATCCCGAGATTCCTCCCCATCCCGAGACTACTCTCCTGCTGTCACCAGCTTGCGCTCACCAATCACTATCCAACGGTCAGGCAAGAAATATGGCTTCACCCTGCGTGCCATCCGTGTGTATCTGGGAGATAGCGATGTCTATAGCGTGGATCACATTGTCTGGGTAAGGAGACATTCTGGATTTGCAAGATTTAAGAGAATGGTCAAGAAAGAGCCATATGGCTAGTGAGATAGAAATTAGCAGCAAGGACGCTCCTGTCACAACGATGAAGCTATTGTCCTATGAATCAGTGGGAGGTAGCAACCTTGAGAGACATTCTCTTGGCTTTTTTCTTGGCAGCATGTGGAGGAAGGGGGTCCAGCCCATGAAGCAGGTCTGTGTGCAGGAGACCTCATTACTCATGTCAATGGAGAGCCAGTGCATGGTCTGGTGCACACTGAGGTGGTGGAACTCATCCTGAAGGTAAGCAGAAGTATGCAAGAAATTGGAGAGTCTCTGATGGAACCGAGACCCTGTGTTTTTGTTACTGTCCCATAGCCGGCTTACCTTTCTTTCCCTTAGAGTGGAAACAAGGTGATGGTGACTACTACGCCCTTTGAGAACACCTCCATCCGGATTGGACCAGCCCGCAAGAGCAGTTACAAGTCCAAAATGGCTAGAAGAAACAAGAGGAGCACCAGCAAAGAAGGGCAGGAGAGGTGAGCTGCATAGAGAGAATGGGAAGGACAGGAACAAGCAAGGTGTATCAAGGATAGCTTGATCGCCTCTATGTTCATAGAGATTTGGGAGTTCATCTAGTGTAATTCCCTGCTAAATGTAATTTCTTCATTCTGGCAGTAAGAAGCGCAGCTCCTTGTTCCGCAAAATCACCAAACAGTCAAATTTGCTGCACACCAGCCGTAGCTTATCCTCCTTGAATCGCTCCTTATCCTCCAGTGATAGTTTGCCTGGCTCACCCACCCATGGTTGGGTGCCCGTTCACCCACCCAGAGCCTGCGCTCCACTCCTGACTCTGCATATCTAGGTAAGACGTTAGGACAGCTATGGTTGGTAATGGCAGGGTTGGATGGGAAGGGTGGATAATGAGAACTGTTTACGACAGACTGTCACACCCTTATGTGCTGGGAATATTTTTCTTGGCCTTTGAAGAAGACTGAAGAGTAGCTGGGACATCTGGCTTCTTTTTTCATCAAGCTTTATTTTCATCCAAAAGGGTGACATTCTTTAGTTCAGATGGGGAACCAGTAATCCAAAGATAGCTGAACTATAATTTCTAGGATTGGCCAGTGACTATATTAGCTAGCATTTGTAAGTCAGCGTTGTCTAAAGAGCCTAATTTCTGTAAAGCCCTCTTTTCTGTTGCCAAGTTGGAATCTCCATGGTGGTCCTTCCATCTAATGCTGTGCAACTTATAGTCAATAGGTTTGAGAGAAATTGGAAGATTCTACTCTGCATGTTTCACTTAAAGAAATAATGAAAATTATTGGATTTGATTTGGATTTGATTATGTACAATTGCTTCAGAGCCCCAACGAAAGCTATATGAGTTAATAACCACTCTCACCCAGCAGTGTTTTCCCAGTAGTATCCAAAGAAATGTGCGCAGGGAAAACTACGCTGATCCTTAAATCTAGGCCATGGTTGCATTCCTCTAAAGTTCAGGCGCAAGAGGCAACAGGAGTAGACTATCTTCTAGATGGGTGGTTCAATTATCAATCGATTACCCTTTTTCCCAGTCTCAAATAATGTTATTACCTCCCCCCCAAAAAAGTCAGACTGTTATTTTACATAACTGTCTCCGCAGTGGCGGTCCTAAACTGGATCCTCTCAACTCACAAACAAGCAATTACAAATTGCTCCATTACCCCAAAGACAAGGCCATAGTACCCCCGGTTTAAGAACCATTGATCTAGATCAGCGTAAAAATGTAAGTGTGAATAGTTGCATGAGGAACATGCCCTGGTCAATCTTCAAGTGGGTCTGTAAGATGGAAGCCCTGGGTCATTTCCTTGCAGGGGAACCCACAGCACCTCTCCTGATTCTGTAAATGGGGCAAGCGAGAGTGCTCCGTGGTACATCTCATCTTTCCTCTCTTTATCCCTTTGTAGGGGCCTCCTCTCAGAGCAGTTCCCCAGCCTCCAGTACGCCCAATTCACCAGCCACCACGTCCCACCACATGCGGCCCAGCACTCTACATGGCCTGTCTCCCAAACTGCATCGCCAGTATCGTTCTGCCCGTTGCAAGTCAGCTGGAAACATTCCTCTCTCACCACTGGCACATACGCCCTCACCTACACAGTCCTCACCACCGCCACTTCCCGGCCATACCGTGGGCAGCTCCAACACCACCCAGAGCTTTCCTGCAAAGCTTCATTCTTCACCCCCAGTGGTACGGCCACGCCCCAAGAGCGCAGAGCCCCCTCGTTCGCCACTTTTGAAGCGGGTGCAATCAGCAGAAAAGCTAGGCTCTCTCCTAAGCGCAGAGAAGAAGGTGGTAGTGAGAAAACATAGCCTGGAGGTGGTGCACTCTGAATACCGCAAAGACTTCTATGGGGAGCCTGGCCTTCACAGCCTAGCGGAGTCAGATGGGGAGAGCCCCAGTGAATCTGGCACTCCAAAGCCCTTGGCCACCCGGCGCCTGGGCCGGCAGGAATCCCCCCTTAGTTTTGGGGTCGGAGATGGAGAGGCAGCTTCGGAGACCAAAGCAAGGGGATCAGATGCGATTCCTGCGGATTGCAGGAGGAACCAAGCTGTGCAGACCGAGGAGGCTTTTGCAGCAGCAAACCGAGCCCTGACAAAAGCCCTGAGCCCTGTTCAAGAGCACGAACAAGGCAGAAAAGGCAGCCTGGAGGCAGATGTGATTCCGCGGGGCCCTGTCCCAATTGTGATGGAACCGAAAGAGACCCAAGAACCTGGCTCTCCAGGAAAGGCCACTCTTCAGCCTGTCCAAGACAAGACTGGCTCGCCCAAGGAGAAGTGGATCTTGGAGGTTGTAGAAGAGCACACCACATTGGGAACCTGTGTAAAAACCGCCAGTTGTCTCTGCCCAGAGGAAACCAAGAACGGACTGAAGCGAAGCTCAGCTGAAGCAAAGGGAAAACGGGGGAAAGAAGAGCTACCTGTCTTGGCATCAGGGAACAAGTGTGCAGGAGATACGCCCCGGCCCCCTGCTCCTACTCTGGAGAAGAAAGGGGCTGCTCACTGAACCAGAGAAGAGTTGATTTTCTCACCCTCCTGGCCCCCAGAACCCATACTAGTAGAACACCAGTGTCGTATTTGCCTTCTGGCCTTCATGGTGATGGGAGCAGTAAGGTAGCAAAGCTCCATTCCCAACAGAGCTGGAAGGGGACGCTCCTTAAGCTCTCTGTGAATGCGAAGGGCAGAGGCAACAGTGCCTCCCCCTCAGCCATCCCTTTGTGAATGGCAAGTCTGCTCTTAAGCCTTGTAAAGTACCTATACATATCTCTCTCTCTATATATATATATATATTATATTTATATACATATAAATACAAATATATATATAAATATATATATACAAGTAAAACTATACATGAAATGGTTAATACTGTGATCACTCCCTTCCCCAACCTCACACCCATTGTATTGTGCTTCGGGCTATTTCTTGAAATCTGTATAATAAAAAATAATAATAATTGATGTTTAGGAAAAACAATTAGAATGGGAAAACAGAACACCAAGCAATGTTTGAATGTAGCAAATTTTGCTCCTTCACAAAGTTCAAAAAATCCAGTGAAAATTCTTGTGGCATAATCTGAATCTCTGCACACAAAGGGAAAGCTCCAATGTCACGCACATTTGTCACGGAATGATTGGCACTGGGGCAGGGGAGTTGACAGGACAGCTCTTGGGACATTGTCAGAGTAGCATTAAAGGAACTGCAAGTAAGCAGCTCCAATATTCATGTCCACAGTTCTCCCACCTGGATAACGGCTGGTTCTTGATTCTATTTTGTTTTCCTAATTTCAATGATAAATTATTGGATTTTATATGTTTTTCACATGTGAGCAATTTAAATAACAAATGACTTATCAGGTGAAGTAAGTAGGTCAGCCTTTAGTTGTGGGGTTGTAAATCTGTTTCATCCCAAAGAGGAGCTGATTTTTTTTTTTTTAAATGTGTTATCTGAGTGGGACAAAAAGCTTGTCTCAAGCTTTTGAAAAGGCAGAGACTGCCTGTCATGAAGACATGGTAAGTTAGTCTGCTGAAGCAGTGGATTTGTAGAATCAAAAATATTAATGGAGAACACTTCTGATCTAAGGGCATGATATTTGGGAAGTTTTACTATGCAAGTTCAATGGAAATGGGATTTGCTCTGGATAATTCTTCAGCAGGGGTGTATTGCGGAAGGGAGATGCCATTAGGGTGCTTCATACTAGGTATCCAAAATATCTCTGATTGTCTTTTTGCAGTGTAATGGATAAAACCTCAACCTGCCCCTAGTGTTGTTTGGAAGAGTAATCGTATTTTCATATTAATATCCTTGCCTCTAATGGCAGGCACAACATCCCAAACTACTAATTCATTGTGGACAGGCTTTGCTCTTCTCTCGCATAGCCCTTAATGAGCTCACTTAGTTTCACTCCCAGTCTGATAGACCCATTATGCAAGTGGATTCTCAGACTGATTTGGGGCTTCTGATAAAAGCCTTAACAGACAATGACTGGAGAGGATGCTGCAATCTGGAAGTGCGTATGGAGTTCAGTTCAAAGTGCGGGAATAGGTCTCAAAATCCTGTTTCAACTTCCCTCTCCCTGTTCTTTTGAAAAGGCTGAAATAGCTGACACTGGAAACCTGGTTGGCTTCCCAGGACTATCAGGAATAGGAAGAAAATGGGCATAGCCTATGAATTGGCATATAGGACAGATAAGCCTCTTTGTGTCCCTTTAGGATACAGAACTACTGTGGCACTGCTAAAGGGACAGAGGCAAGCACTAGAAGCTTCATGTGCACTGCTAGGTTGCAATAAAGGGATCCTGTAAAATTAAGGTAGCTGCTTGACCACATTGGTCAAAATGCATGACGTTGCCATCCTGCCCACTCATGAATTTATGTCATTGGTATTTGGGCAAAGATGTCATTATGCATGATGGTGCTGTAAATTAGCAATGTCATGTTTAAGTGTACAGCTATGATCTCAAATCAGGTTGCAGTTAATATATTGTTTATCCAGAAGCATTTTGCAGATACCAGTTCTGATGGAATAGAGTCCAGTGAATGAGAAAAAGAGCCTGCTTCTCTTGGCCTTCTCTGTTCATCCTGAGATTTGGTTGCTTTCCCTTGAAAAAGAAGTTCAACTCTCAAATTTAGCAACCCAGATTTGGCACCATATCATTAGGAATATATCAAAGTGGTTTTAAAAAGTGCTGCACAGATGCAATTACTGCCTGGTGTAGCTGCTGGTCTCCCTTCCCCCCAATGCTTTCCCTCTCCACCTGGAAGGAGAGGTATTCTCTATGCAAATATTAGCTAAATTATGATACAAGACTGTTTTCCTCTCCCCTTTTGACTCCCCTCAGTTCCAATCCTATTAACCTATTAATCTCTTCATTCACGCTCCTCCATTTATCCTGATAGCACAATTCTGTATGAGTCCCTGAGAGCCCTTGCACCCTCCATGCTCTTCAGTCATTTCGCTAAGCCAAATGCAGCCCCACAGAGCTGCCTTGCCTGCCTGGAGCTACACAGCCTGGCACACTTGGCAAGGTTCATGGCAGATTTCATTTGGCCCTAAATATCACAACTGGCCCACAAAACTCCTCTCCCAGATGTATGAGAGCTGGCCCAGTACTTAGACACCAGGTTTACTCCAAGCAAGTCTGCAATGTAGTGTACTATATAGATGCTGAAAAGAAGTGGTGCAGAACTCCTAAATTTGGGGGAAGGGAGTCAGGAGGCAAATATGTCGGTGGGGAAAGCATTTTATTTGCAAAGTTCATTTTCCTCCCAAATGCAGAGTTAAGGAACTCTTCCTTATAAGGGAGCAAAGCAACTAGAAAGACAGGAGGAAACCTGTATGTGTATGAATGTTCTCCCTCTCCGATGTAACGCATGAGTGCTCAATGAAAGACTCTGGCTGTACTGTCTGTACTGTGAATAAAGGCATATGCCCTATCTCCCACCCCAAGGAGCTAGGAAGCTCTACCTGCGAAGTATTTCTCTTGGACCATCAAACTTGTCTCTTGGCTTACGCGGGCAGAAGCATTGTCATGTTAATAAACCAACCTGTACAGCATGTTTGGCTTTTACCTTCTCTAATCACTGGTTGTTTGGGTTTGGAAGGGGAACGTCTGATGGGAAAGCAGATGGTTCATCTCGAGACTGCCTGTCCCACCCATATTTCTTGGAATCCAGGGACTGGGCAGAAGTTTTTAGGGTGAGAAACCAGGGTGCGGAAGGAATTAGGCTTGAAGGTAGAGTTGCCCCAGCTAGCCTTAACCAATGGCACAGTTGCCCTTCCATGTGCTGCCTGAGTCACATGGCTCCTCGGAATAATTTCCCCATTCCACTCTCAGGCTTCCTCCCTCCAGCCGCCTCAGCCGGGTGTTACATAAGAGCAAGGGCATTGTGCCAGAAGGTTACTGTTACAAACAGGCTTCTATTGTGCATGTGAGGCTCCTCTCACACGGCGTTCTGTGCCAAGACAAGGAAACTAGGACAGAGTCAACCCTACTGGGCTATTCTGTCACTGGGTCTGAGTGACCGGTTGGGTTGCTCTTGCAGTACAGCCAACTGACTGACTTACTAAACGGCAAAGCAATTCTAGGCTGATCTGATACGGTTATCTCTGGTCCAACAGAATGATTTCATTGGTCCCATTTGTGACTTTAGATCTCGTTGGTTGATAAGGCCTTATTATCCTCAATTTTTGATTTAATTTAGAACGAATATTCAAATATTCATCACATGCTGTGGCTTCTAAATGACCATGTCTTCTCTCTCAAGTCTGACTCATCTGAGGCTGTCCCCTGTGTATCTTGGGATTGAGCACTGGAATAAGGGAAGTTATTAAGACCTATTCCCCAAACTTACAAAGCACCTCAGAAACTAAAAAAATAATAACTGAGAACTGGCCTGTTCACAAACACATCTCTTAATAAACCCAAACACCCATCCAAGGAATGATGAATGCTGGCTACTATTCAGAATGTTATTGAGATATGCAGCACGATACACAAAGGATTTAATTGGCAAGAGCCTTGATTAAAATGCATGGAAATTGTGCAAAAGAAGGAAGTGGCAGAATGGCTTGTGCAGAACTTCCCAGCAGATAATCCGTATCAGTGAATGAGTAGCTGAAGATTAATCTCAAATGCTAACAAGCATGCTTTTTTTTGAGGAAAGTGACAAACTGTTGCTGGAAGTGGGCATAGTACATTCCAGCAAGATAAATGTAGACTATCGGGGCACAATTTTATAATTATGGTATTAAAAGTGTAGTAGTACATTTATAATACTGAATTTGAGCTTGACCTACCAAGATGTCAGAAGCTCATAGAAGAAATTTGGGGGGAGTATTTGACATCCTAAAGTTGAGTAGAGAAAAAAAAAACTTTTTTCACTCTTTTCTCTCCCATGTATTTGTCCTGCATCTTCTCCCCCCCTCTCCCCCCCCCCGTCCTCATATAGTAAGGGCCTCCACTGTTACTAGAAATCTGAATTTACTACAGAGGCATTTTGCTATTAGGAAGAGGGACAGCTCTCCCCCCCCCCCGGGGCTAAGCGTTGTCTGCCTTTGGCTTAGGCCTATTCTTAATTCCACAAACTCTTAAGCAGCAGCCTTTGGTCTCTTGCAGAGCATGAATGCCTATGAAGAATGAGGTAAAGCCTAATAACAATTTCCACATAGGTGCTGATTAAGCACAAGTTCACCAGTGGTGAGGAGGTGCAGCTGCCTTTCTTGAGACACCCATTTACAAACTTGTGGAGATTGTCCTGTCATCACCCATCTGATTTCTATAGTGACTCAACAATGTCTGGAAGGCCATGGCTCTGAAGGAGAAAAGGTGACCAGGCAGTCACCTGGATCTCAGCCGACAGTGATGATGATCTCATCTAGTTATTGGGTTCCTTGTTTTCTCTTGGTTGAGGGAGATTCTTGCAGCTAACACCTCCTGGCCCAGTTTACCAACAAGCGTATCCCAAGGGCAAAGAGCCACTGGAATAATTAAAACTACCCCAGTAAATCACAAAGCCTTTACCTTCACATAGCACATCCCCATGAAATGGTAGAACTGTTTTGTCTCCACCTTCCTAGTTTTCTGAGTTTCAGGGCTTACAGACAAAGCTGTGGATTTGTGTTATCCCTCCCAAGCAAATACTGCAACTGAAATGAAGCAATATATTCACATACTCTTTTTTTTTCCTGCCCCACAATCAGATCATGGGCCTGTTCACACTGTTAGATTGCCACTGCGAGAAAGTGGGTCACATGCAATTGAGTGGAGCTTGCATATATTTTCTTGACTGGGGTGTGTGATGCCAAACTCTCCCTGCATTACAACAAGCTCTAGTGATATGCCACGAGCACTGGCAGAGTGCACCACACTCATCCAGTCTAGCATTTCTGTTTGCCCTTTGGATGTTCATGAACAGGGTACAATGCAACAGATCTATGCCACTCACAGCTGATATTAAGAGGCAGGTATTAAGAGTTACCACTAGTCCATGTATGATATGCCATATGAGCTACTATATAAATTATTCCAACTAGAGTTGGGAGCATCTGATGCATCTACATATACTCAACTATCTAAAGGTAATTTTCAATGCCATGTAACACAATGGTCATCAAGAAAAATTTGGGAACTATCTATGAACTGAAGAGTGTGTTGTTACAAGTGGCACTGTTTCATTCTGAACTGCAGGCTACCTTTAGAACTAGACCAGCATCATAAATTTTTAATGAACATATTAGAGAAGACCAAGATGGATCAGTCCATCAGGCCAATGAGAAAGAACAAAAAAGATACCATCATTTCAAAGATGGGAAGTACTGTAACTGAAAGAGATGATATGACCATTTCAGTTATATGAACTTTTTATTGCATGTAGAAAACTTGCACTTGGCAGACTTTTGTTGTGTAGGATTCTTAGAAATATTTCAAAAATACTGGTGGCATAATAATGTTAAATGGAAGTCTAAGAGAATAATGCTTGATATATTTATTTAACAAAGAAAGGGGACATTTAAGTAGCTTCTAAGTTTAAACTGGTAGAACTACTATGGGAAGCTGTTTTACTCCAAGTCTGATTAAGGTCCTTCCAGCTTGTATTGTTTGTTAGATTAGTTTATTAGACTATTCTGTGACATTCATAACTTTCATATGGCATTATTTCATTGGTCATTGGCAACATAAACCAGACTTACCCATCCTGTCTAGGAATTATAAAAGTTGAAAGGAGCATTCTGTTGGAGAAGGCTGGTTTAGGGCAATTAATTTCTATTAGGCTGTATGTTTTAATATAGTTATTAAATCATTTTAATGCTTCCAAGATGCATGAAAGTTACTGCCAATGCTATAGCTAACAATGGGTGTGTTCTATACACTGCCATCATTAATAAATTCAGGATTTCAGCTACAAAAGGTTGAGAAGGTTAGGGTTAGACCCTATTTGTTGAAGGGTTGTCTGAATGTTCGTTGTATTTCATTCCGCTCTTGAACATTTTATAATTTTACAAATTGAGTAGATGAATTTTTTAATTTAAAAGATGTATATGATCTTAAGAAGCACAACTCTAGGCAGCTCTCCACAACAATAAAAACTATGAAAACATAAAAGCAAAACCTGGTCCCTCAGCCATTGCTCTCCAATGTGTCCAGCAACCATTTGCAGGCTCCAACCTCATTCCACCCTAGTGCTGGGAGAAGAGCCAAAATAAAACAGTGGGGCCTTCCAAATGCAGGAGATGGGTGTTCCACAGAGCTGGGGCTGCTGTAAAAAAAGGCATGCTCCCTAGGTCCTCTTAGATGGCAGCATTTCAGGGAAGAGACCTGGAGTGTGACCACCCAAGGCAAATAACCTGGCCCAGTGCACGTAGGGCTTCAAGGTGATAACCAGCACCTTGAAATGCACCTAGAAAGAAAATGGGAGCCACTATAACTCGCACTGTCACAACATGATATGGGCAAACCGAGGGGCATCCAACACTGAATGCACCACAGTACCCAGGAGCAATGTAACTTTCACATGGTTTTCAAGGACAGCCCCATTTACAGTGCACTGCTACAATCCAACCATGAGTGGCCCTACTCTTTCATCCTTGCAAGAGGAACATAGTCACCTGCCAAAGGTCTGTGTAATATGCTGGTAATAAAAAGAAGAAGTTGGCGCCTCTGCTTGATTTCCATTGCATCCTCCTCTTTTGAGGGGGATGCAATTCCTGCAGAGCCCTTGGAGTTTGATGCAACCAAAGCAGCAGGCTCCCCTAGCAGTCAAGGAGTCGGTACAGAGAAATATAAAAAAATCTGGGTCTCGCCACACCCCCCCTCGGTTCACCCATTTTCTGCTCCCTTTTCAGCTGCTGCTGTTACTATGGCAACACAGGCTAGGCTTTGTGGAGGGGCAGGCTTCCTGATACAACACTGGATCTCAGCCAGCCTCGAAATGCATGTTTGTGTCCGTGTGCAGCTGGTGGGGGGGGGGGAGAGGGAAGAGCTAGTGACCTACTTTTGATGACATGGTTTTTCTTCCCCCAGGTAATCATGGATAATCCTACCCTCACCCACATATTCAATCAAATCAGAAAGTCCAGCTCTGGAAAATAGGCTAATAGCCCTATCAATGATGCAAAAAACCAGGTGATGGGCAAGGATTCAAAATCACTCCATCTCTCACTTAAGCCTCCCTTGTCCAAAGCAACTAGCAATGCATATGATGAAGAAATCAGAAAATTTAGTCCAGGGACAGTCTTTGTCCTGTCTCATTGGAATAGAATTAATACAAAAATGATACACTTCCCAAAGGTAAAAATCATAATGCCTCAGACCCTTCCAAATTCATCATCGCCAATAAATCCTTAGCAAGATTAAAGGGTGTCCGTAAAAGTTGAATGTTTGATAAATGCATCAGGCATTTTTAAAAAACTTTTAAGTAAGTAATAGGCTTTTTGGAGCCCCCAAACACACTTGCACATGTGAAAGCCTCCTTTACTGATAACAATAAATATCTGTTTTGTGGCCAAACATCGTCTGCTAAAAACAGACCTCATCAATATTTTAGGGCATAGCTCAGTGCTTGGACGAAGCAGATTTTGCCAATTAAGTCCAATGGCCACTAAGCAAAAGTCCATTAAATCAAGGGTTTACTGTACTAAATAGCAATCACACTTTCTAATGCTCTATTGCAGGAAACCTTTTTCTCAAATTAAGACATTTCCTCTAAGAAAATAAAATGCACATTATGAATATCAAAAGTTGAACCGCAGCTCTACTCTTAACCTAACCCCTCATCACCCTCTCAAATATCCATTGTTGGTAGACTTAAATATTTCACATCCACATGGGGAGAATGAAGATTTCCTCCAATAGTAAGAAAATGATTAAAGCCATAAGTCAACTACGCTTACAACTAGAAGGAAGACTTGGAATCCTGAACTCAAATAAATGCTATTCCTATTTACTGGCACAAAATGCAAGAGACACATTATACTGGTGTTGAAAGAATTACATTAGCTATCAATTTGATACTAAAGCTCGACCTTCTTAACTCTACATAACCTTCCTTGCACCCTGACCTCTTCAGATGCCATTTTCTGGCTGAGGTAAAACCAAATTTTTCCATCTCAGTGAAAACAGCACATTGCTAGGCCCTTCTTGGTTGGTTTCAAACCCAAGTTAAAATTTTCATTCATTTATGAAGAATAATTTGTGGCCTGATCCCGATCGTGCATGTAACTTCTAGGAATACCATTCCAAATAATTGTTATTTTATTAATTCATTGGCTATTTTTATATATGTTATGTGGTTTTATTCCTCCTTGTGAAGCTCTTGGATGGAAAGGGCAACGTTTGTCCTTAAAAGAGTTACCCACCTCTGTGTTCTGTGTCAGTCTTCCTCCATTCCCAAGTCAGTCAGCAACTCTAAGCATTTTTCAACATTTTTCTGTAGGTTTATTTTAGTAATTAAAAACACACAACGCTTGGTTTGCCCAAGCAATTTCTGACAGAAAAAATACAATCACTGACAATCCGTTTAGGCATCCCTATTGTGGGTATCCAAGAACCTTAACATCAGTGCAGAATGGATTAGACGCCAACTTTTGGGTGCTCTCTTATCGATCACAAGGCCAGAATTGTTAGAATACCGTTATGCATTCGCCCACCAAAACACATCCCATCTACATACTGAATTCTGGAAAGCGGGAGTCCCATCACCCACTATACCTTAGCGATTCCAAAGTCTTTTTCTGAGGCAGCCCCATTCTATCCCCCATGTTCAGTCTACTTATCCTCTTTTGCCATATCATGATTCCTATTCCCCCCAGATTCTGAAGCCAGCAGGTCCAGGTCAGCCATGGCCTTCTTCTCCAATGCTCATTTGGCCATGTAAAATCCATTTCTTGCATCAACGCTCAGTTCAATTTTTTCTTCTTACTTCCCAAATCTTTATCCACACCTAGGTCTTCTTCAAGTTGGTCTGGGGCCATCATCATGACAAGCATCCTCCCACCTGTTGACATGGTCCTTTGGGACTGAGTGATTTGAGGGCAGCCCTGAGCCATGACACAGAAGTCTTTCCAAGTTCCCACTGGAGGCAGGAGGCTCGTTCAGAAACAAGGCTTGCCGCACCAGGGCTGACATCTCCTCATGTCGGTCACTGTCCCAATCTGAGGCCGCCGAGGATCCCTGGCAGCAGCCAGCTGGAGCAGTGCTAGAACCGGGGAATGGTTCATGAACTCCACTGCTGTGCGCTCTGCACTTGAGTCTAAGCTTGTGTGGGAGAGCTGCAGTCTTCACGTCAGGGTGGGTGTCCAGCGCCACGGGGAAGGGAGCAGAGGAACATCCCCAAGGGGGCTCTTCACTTTCCTCACTCGTGTAACCCTCAAAGGGGGATCTAGGCTCTTCAACTTTCTTTATGTACTCCCCCTCCAGATAACCGGCAGGAGCACTACAGCTCTCGGGCTTTGAGCAATACCCTGAGTGCGTCTGGAGCTCCCCCTGCGAGCAGTGGGGATCCCGCCCCCTGCAGTGGCTTTTGGGACTCTGGTTCCCACAGCCTTCTGCCGGCTCCGCTTCTTCAGGAAGCAAGGGTTGCGGAGGAGCCACTGCAGTAAAGCCATTGGCACTGAAGAGGATCACACTGCGGGGAACTGAGCCCTTGGGCTCTGGGTAAGGCTGCAAGGGGGCATCCCCATAGACACGATGGATGGCCTGGGCTTCCTCAAGCGTCTGGGGGAGAGGGCTGTCCCGAGATGAGCCATCAGACAGATCAGAGAGAGAGTCGCGGGGAGAATACTTGGCTACCGATACACTTACACTGTCCCGGCTTGACTGCTCAGTTTCAGACGAATCCTCTGAGTGGGAGGCTCGGGACAGGGAACTGGGATACAAACTGCTGTTACCAACACCATATAAGATTGCTGGGGTGTTGGCACTGGCAGTACTCAGCTGCTGGCTCTTTTCCATGAAGACTGTTGTGCTGATGAGGCCAAAACGCAGCTTCAGCTGCAGTAGCTCTGTTTTCAGCCGCACGTTCTCCTCGTTGAGTGCCAGCACCCTATTCTCCAGAACCAGGTCATTGAAGCGCCGTTTCTCCCGGGAGCGCTTGGCAGCCTCATTGTTCTTCCGACGCTTCTCCCAGTAGCTGGCATCCTTCTTTTCATCGGAGATGAACTCTCGCTTTCGCCTACAGTTGGCATTCGGCTTGCTCTTCAGGGTTCGGGCTCGCTGAATAATGCTGTTTTGATGGAACTCTGGAAAGTTCCCAGCCACACATAATGTAGGGGAGTTGAGACTCTCCATCATGGGGTGGGAAGGAAGGGAGGGAAGAGGGGCAAAATGTCCAGATGCACTTTGTCTATTGCTGGAGTTTTTCCCTTCTTCAGAACTGAGGCGGTGGCTGTTCCTGCTGTTCCACAGGATACTTTTTCCCAGCTGTGCACACCAAACTGTTACCAAGCTGTATTGCCGGGGAAGCTACATCCAATATGGCCTTGAGCCGTCCTCCAGTTGCTACAGACAGATGGGATCTGGGCTCCCAGCAATGGAAAATGAATTGTCCAATACAAGGAGACCATCTTCCAAATCCCCGCCGAAAAGAGGCTGTCTCCAGATTCCTTGGGAGGATTTTACTGTCCTCAATCTTCAGCTCAGTAAAGCCGGAGTGGCTTTGCTGCCAAAGTGTTACACGCAACAGGAGCCAGGATGTGGCTGGATAGCAGGCACAGTGGGAAAGGAAGAGAATCAACAGCAACTGCTGGGTCAGGCCCAGAAGGCAGCAGAAACGCCTAGGGAGGAAGGATACAAAAAAGAGGGTGTTACATTTCTGCCTAGTGCTGTCACACACCTCAGGCTCTGTTTACATAATCCAGCAGGTTCAGACAGCATCACCATGGCCCTTGGTTTGCATGGACCACACCCCACATTCCAGCTCCCCTCATAAAGAAATGCAAGGTTGCCTCTACTGGGGAGGGGGTGAGTGAGCCCAGTCCCCCAAAGCAGAACTACATTCAATTGTAATTTCTGCTTGGCAATCAAAATATATGCTCCACCTTGTCCCCACCCCAGACTGAAAGCATGCCACACCCCAGAGATGCTGCACCCACACTGCGATCTCTGCCAAACGTACAAGAGAAAAACTACTTTTCTAATTGGCATACCCCCAAGAAAGACAAAGGAGTCACATTTGACCTTTTTTAGAGGTCTCTCAGATACAGTGATGCACTGTATTACGATCGGACTCTCCTCTTTCAAAACCCTCTTTCCCTTTCAGATGTCTGCATACAAACATGCCTGTAGGCTCAATGCCACACTGATACACCCAAAATATGCCATTTAGTTCCATTTCATTCACCAATGTATTCTCCCCATCATACACACACACAGAGGCAAAGACAACCCCCCCCCCATTTCTCATAACATGGGAAGGAAGGGAGGGAGAGTAGAGGGAGATTACAAGCAGTGGATCTGGAATGGGGTTTTTAACCTTGAAGCCGAGAGATCCAAGGCAGGGAATCTTCCAGCCCCCTTTTGACTGCTGAGTGATAGGCCAGCGAGCCAGACAGGTTGCACAAAGAACGCCACCCCAACCTTCCTTCCACCATGACACATAGATAGGAATGCTGAAGCTCTCCTTCCCAGGAAAGCAAGGCCATGTGTACCAAGTGGCACGTACGCTCCTCCACGATGATGGCAACCCCCCCCCTTTTCTTCTCCTTGCATGTGATCTACGCGCACCAGGCACAGGCAGCAGGAATATAGGTCAGTAAACACTGAATATTTATCAAGCTAGGCAGTCAAAACAGGTCTGATGATTATGGATTGCACAACAGTTCCAGAAAAGAGAGAGCGGCACAGCGCCAACAACCTACTGGCCTACAAATTGTTTTTTCACAAAGAAATAATAGCAGCAGGGAGGCTGAGAAGGCAATATTGGGGACCAATAGGAGAAAATACTGCTAACAACTGGGGCCCCAGCCACAGAGCTGTCTTGATAACTACTAGTCTGCTCCCCGATCAGCCTTGCACCAATTTCCAACCAGATTCAGCAGTCTCAGTATCTTGGATGGTGCTAGGATTTCTATAGAGAAAGCCATGAACATCCTTCTATACAGATTTCTACAGAGCAAGTGTCAATATTTTATGCATTTGCCACTTTTAATAATCTGGGTGAAATTAAAATGCATGCACCAAACCACAGAAAGAAAAATGAACCGTGCATTTCTTTTTTCAAACCTGGACATTTCTTCTATAAGATATCTCCTCTGTCCTTGCTCCCCTGCCCTACAAAACATCTTCCATGAGCAAAAGAATGCATCACAAAGCTACAAGGCTCGTTGTATGTATTCCAAAAAGAAATCTTACATTTACGCAGCAGGTCCTACTACTGCCATATTAAACAATTTAGTCTATTTAAAAATACTAAAGTAGACTAGCCTCCGACTAGACAGAGGAAATTCAGTCTATATATATGAGCAAGGATGAAAAAGAGGATTCTGTTCTCATCACAATCATTCTATTCTTTACAAGAAAAAGATGATCAGCATGGGGGGGGGGCATTTCTGAGCCTCTTTTTTTTTTTTTACTTTACCTTTTATTTGATCTCTCCTCCCAAATCCATCACCTGGTGCTAAATCGGACGGTTGTGACTGCTATCAGTTTGTGCTGGGGTGTACCAGATTCCCGACCTGCCTAATTTCCCTTGATGCAATTGTCCTGGGCCCTTGATGTCAAAAGTGACAACATCCTCCTTCTAAGTCCATGCATTATTTTCTTGTCTTGACCCAGAATGAGAAAGAGTTTTCTAGCTAAATCCCACACCTTGATCTGCCTACAGGGCCCGGCCTCGTGTCTTACAGGCACATGGAACTACTACTAAGCTGGATTGGGTGTACACAACCAGGATCCTGCAAGCTCAGGCATGAAGAGGAAGCTGACCTACTTCTCAGTCTGCGTCACCCCCTTGGGGCAGTAGGTCTGATAGCATTCAAAAGAGGTCAGTCTGGATCTTACCAATTCGACGTCGCATCAGAATAAAAATACAGTTGTATAGTTACATAAGAGCAATAATCAAAAGCAAAACAAAAGATAAGAGTGCATCTGACTTGATGCCAAATGCTTTGCATTCACAAAAGGGTCACAAACAGGCTTTCAAATGAAAGAGAACAATATAACCTTTGAACGTTTTCACTTTAAAAATCAAGTTCTGCTTGGGGCTTTCCTGTAATAAAAGCCGAATGGCTTGAAGTTGTTCAGAACAAAGGAAAGTGATACGAGTGTGCAGTAAAATTAAGAGTGCAATGAAGTTCTGAAAATCAAATCTGACTGTAAGCAGAAACGCACACAGGATAGAAGGACTGATTATGAAAGCAACAAGCCCATACATCCAAAATGACATGCATGTTAGGTTTATACAATACAGTAGACCAGTTAACATGGGACAAGGTTGTTTGCGATTCAACATGCCGTAGGAATCCAATGTTTATTACAGACCCAGACTGTCATGGTAAACTATAACATGATCTATTTGTTTGGGCACAGTAGGATATGCAAACACACAGTGAACCGATTTAGTTGAGTGTGTTATGAGAATGCAGCCATAATGGAATAAGTTTACATTCCTCTAGGAATGAGTTCCTTGAAGTCTAAATCACAAGACCCAATAATCCTAGACAAAATCTTAAAGGAAAAATGAAGTCATGTCACCAAATTTGTAGAAAGGGCTATTAAAGCTTCTGGGATTAATAAGTGGTGGTGTAGAGGAAGCCTCTGGACATCTTTCTTGAACAGAACCTGAGACCATCACAGGAAGTCAGAGCTGAACTTTTAAACTTGCCCCTATAGTGCTATTTCTTTGGCAAACAATAACAGCAAAGGTTATGCTAGGAAGAGCTCTCTTTTTTCAAGGCCCTGAAGCCAGGCAAACAGAAGGCATTTTCCTTCCTGAACAACTAGTATAACGCTAATCGGTGCTTTGGCTAATGGGCTACCTACACAGAGGATCAAACTTGGTCAAGTGATGCCATCCTCATTATTACAAGTAACTTCCAGAAGGAAGCTCTGCAGGGAAAAATACCTTTGGTGCTTCAGAAATTAACAGATTTATTATGACACAATCCAAATTCCATGTTATTAGTTTCCTGGTGTATTATCCGTGGATGATATTCACACACCACCACACCCTCCTAAGGATTCTTCAAATCTACAGAAAGAAAATGTCCAGATACCCACAGTCAATTTCACTGTCTCTTTATTGTGCCCCTCCCCAGCCAACAACAGGCTATCCAGAACCAATTTTATAGCCAGTTTCTCTGCAAAATTCTGGGATGGCAGGACTGCTATTCCTATTGGTTTATTTGGAATGGATTTCAGTGTACTCAGTTAATCCAAAATTCCCTGCAGAAGGCAAGCCAACATTTCCTCCTGGAGGGTTGCTTTGCTCTGCAGATTCCTTCCCTTGACTTGCACCTTCCAAAATATCACTCCCTTTTCTAGGTTCCCTCCCTGCAGGGCTTCCCACACAACTGCTTCATGATGTAATAACTGTTGCAGATCGTGTCTCCACTTTCCAAGCAAGAATGTTCTGTTCCTGTAAGGTCTGGAGCTGAGCCACCACCGTTCAGCTGCCTCCTCCCCTTTGCTTTCCACATCTACTCTTAAGTTCTGCATAATCACTTCATCATAATCCATATTGCCGTGGGAGGGAGGGGAGAGACACCTTCTGACTAGCAACTGTAGGTTATAATGCTGTGATGAAAGGATGGCCCAGTTGAATGTTTGCCACTAGAATAATCTGTCCCAAGTCTCAATCAAGAAAAAAGCAGAAACCTTTTAGGAAGCAACTGGAGAATCTGTGTTGAGCAAAGGGTTTCCAATGGTCCTACAGGCAAGCCACAGGTTGTTTCAGGACTAACCAAGATAAAATTAAGCAGAAATATCAAGATGCCAACTAGAAAGGAACCAGAAATAAAGCAAGTATATAACTTGCTGGTAAAGATCAAGTTACTCAAAGGATAGCAAATCTAGGCAGAGATTGAATATGATTTATCTAAAGTCTGGATGACAATTACGGTGGATATCAGCAAGAATGAAAGTTTTCTCTATTTCATTTCTGCCACCTAGCAATTGTCTAGATTTTTTGCAAAGAAGTTGTGTGGGCGTCTGTGCTTCAATTGACCATAATCATCATAGCTAAGTCATTTTGTTCGGACCTAAAGTTGTGTTTTTCCCATTTACTGACTGGGAATCATAACTTTAATGCCCTGGTGTCAAACATATGAGTGGTGTTCATTTATCTTTTTTAAATGGGAAGGGTCTCTGAAGGGGTTATAGTCAAGCTATGTAAAATTTAACAAATGCTAAATCCATCTTGTCTGGAAGTTAAGTCATGGCAACTGAACTTCTCTTCTTTTTTTGTTTTGAAATGTTTCGCTGCTGAGTGCCACCCTAGGGAAATCTAGGCAGCACAGCAGAGCTTTGTATGCAACAGGTACCCTACAGGTCATGAAATCTCTCCCTCCCCTCCTGTCTGCAGTATTCATGAAATACGTTTCACATCCCAATGTCAAATTCCATCATTCTTGAGCCTCTTTTTGACAGTGGCCCTGCCCAACTTTCCAGAAAAGCCTGAGCACATGAAGTAGGACAACGAATGACCCAGAGTTAGCCTTTTCAAAATTTGGTAACACCTTTTTCATTCTGCATACACTAGAAAGCAACCACTCCCATTATGAGTGTGACTTTTTTTCATTCTCCATTTAAGTACACACCTTAGTAATGGTCCTCTTAAGACCAGGCTCTACATAGCTTTGATAATGCTGATGACACCCAAGAAGTAGTAGTAGTAGTAGTAGTAGTAGTAGTAGTAGTAGCAGTAGTAATAATAATAATAATAATAATAATAATAATAATAATAATAATAATAAAGTTGGAAGGGACCTTGGAGGTCATCTAGTTCAACCCCCTGCTCAGGCAGGAAACCCTATATACCATTTCAGGCAAATGGCTGTCCAGTCTCTTCTTAAAAACTTCCAGTGTAGGAGCATTCACTGCTTCTGGAGGCAGGTTGTTCCACTGGTTAATTGTTCTGTCAGGAAATTTCTTAGTTCTAGGTTGCTTCTCTCCTTGCTTAGTTTCCACCCATTGCTTCTTGTCCTGCCTTCAGGCGCTTTGGAGAATAGCTTGACTCCCTCTTCTTTGTGGCAGCCCCTGAGATACTGGAACACTGTTATCATGTCCCCCTTCGTCCCTCTCTTCATTAAACTAGACATACCCAATTCCAGCAGTCTTTCCTTATATGCTTTAGCCTCCAATCCCCTAATCATCTTTGTTGCTCTTCTCTGTACTCTTTCTAGAGTCTCAACATCTTTTTTACATGACTTCAGTTTACGGGTAGTCCTCAATTTACAACCATTTGTTTAGCAATTTTGCAAAGTTATGACAGTGCAGAAAAAAAGTGACTTATGGCTGGTTCTCGCACTTACGACCATTGCAGTGTCCCTGCTATCATGTGATCACAATTTGGGCACTTGGCAACCAGCACATATTTACAACAACTGCAGCAGCCCAGGATCATATAATCACTATTTGCAGCCTTCCAGTTGGCTTCTGACAAACGAAGTCAATGGGGGAAGCTGGATTCACTTAATGACCACAGTAAAAATATAAGATCAGGTGCAGTCACAGGATGACTCACTTAATGACTGCACTGCTTAGCAATGGAAGTTCTGGTCCCAATTATTGTTGTTAAGTTGAGGACTATTTGTATACATTTCCAACAGCATCCTGATACACAGTCACGAACAGGGAAACCTTTCTGAAATGGAGACGAACCACTTCAGAAGACTTTCCTTGCTTATTTTCTACTTGTTCAGCTGTTGTTTAAAAATAAAAGCGTAGACAAGCTTGCCAACTAATTAGGAGGAAAAATAGCTTGGCTCACATTCTTTTGCCTTTTAAAAACAGTTTGCTCTGCACAAAATCATCAGGCAGAGTTTTGCATACATGGAGTGAACCCTTGTTGCTTGCTATGGCTGGAACTCAAACTGATGTTAAATACACATTAGTAGAAGAGTGGGTTTTTTTTAAAAAAATATCATCCATATGAATAAGCCAACTTGCTATCTAATGCCAACCAAGCTTCTAGAATTCAGATTTCACAAGTGCCTTTGCAGCTACCTGCTCTTGCTGCATGTCTACAGTTCAGACGCTTGTTTTTCAGTTTGCAAAAACATGGCCAGCTGATCAGCGCCAAGTGTCCTGGAGCAGGCAGAGAGTTTCTAAAGCAAAAATTGCTCAATCATTCTCTACTAAGCATTAGTATGCAGCCTTACAAAGACCATGTGTGAAACGTGCATCAGGCAGTGGGTGTAGTGGTGAAGTATTGCTCTACAGACCCAGGTTCTAGCCCAGTGGTTCTCAACCTTTTTAATGCCACGACCCCAACCGGTCGTAAGTCGAGGACTACTCAACTGGTCGTAAGTCGAGAACTACTCAACTGGTGCAGCACCGTTTTCAGAATGGGACTTTTGGCGGGCTCAGCAGGGCAGAGACAGCCTGGACAATTCCTATTGGCTTTTGAAAGCCAATAGAATTAGACTCTATTCAAGAAAGTCTATTCTATTATTGGCTTTCAAAAGCCAATAGAATAAAAGGGAGTAGCACAGCTAAGGAAAAGGGGAAAAAAATGGCGGACTGCGTTGTTTGGCGACCCCCGTGAAATGTCGTTCAACCCCAAATGGGGTCCCGACCCACAGGTTGAGAACCACTGTTCTAGCCCATCCTCAACCTTGGAAACTCACCCAGTGATCTGGGTTAGGGTCATTCTCTCTCATCCTAGCCTCTGATGTTTGTAGTGGGGTAAAATAAAATGAGGGAACTCTACATAGATTATCTTGTATTCTGAACAAAAGGAGGAATAGAGGAAATACAAATGTTCCCCCGGGTTAATTTATAGATTTCCCTAAGAACTTTTATGGGATCTCGTGAAACCAGTTACAGGTTTTCCACAGCTACTGAAATGCCTTGAAATGGCATTTGCTTGGCTCTACGGAACAACTGAGGCATCAGCGCTTAGTGCATGGGATGGGGAAAGGAACAAAGAGGAGGGGCCAAAGTCTCTTTTCTCCTTATTTTCTTTTTTTGGAAGACAGCCAAAGAAAGAGTATGGGGGCTAAAGGTGAGCAGAAGAAAAAGGTTTCACCTAGAGATTTGATAGCCAAACCTTTGCCTGATTCTTGTGTCTGCATGGAAAGCAGGTGGACAAAAGACATATTACCAATTAAGTACAGAAAGACAGCCTCTTCTGCTCTATTCTTAGCCTCCAACAGCAGCATCACAGGTTCCATTCAGCAACATGGATGCTTCTTATCAGCTCCACCTCTTCAGCAAGCCCTTCCATTCCACTTCACCCAGGAACCATGATCAAGAGAGCTGACGATGTGGGCATAGGCTGGGAAGTCCTGGGTTCAAATCCTGATCATACATAAAGCATAGAGCATAGAGCCAGGTCCTCCAAAACTACATATCCAGACTCTGGCAAAGATAAAATTGGTAGTGGGATGGAGGAGGTGCTGTGAAAATTGCCTCAGCAGCTTGAAAAAAAAGTAGTGCAGATGAGCCAACAGACAGCAGTGCCTACAGTGGATAGTGATGATACCCAAATGAGAACATATGTGCAATGACGTTATAATGCAAAGGCTTTTACTGATTTGCTTCCCTGGCCTGAAGTGGCTAGGTCAGTGCAGTGTCCTCCCAGACATGCCATCATTTACACTCACAACACACTGGGCACTACTCTATATGAAGACATTTAATTATTTTGTTACTCACTCTATTGCATGAATCCAGAACATTAGTTAAGCCTTGTTTCAAGCCCAGCTATCACGTTTAAATTTGGGGGGGGGGGGCTGATTCACCTAGTGGTTCTATTCCTCCAAAATTGGTTAGTTGCATACTACATATTAGATCTATTAGTGTTTTAAATATTTCTGAGTAACACATCATGTTTCTTCAGACTGCATGGTAAAGGTGTGTTTTAAAAGGGCATTTTAAATTTAGAAACATGAAGTGTTATACAAAACATAAAACTACACTGAAATATTCTTGTGTCTCTTTAAAAAGGAAGAAATGTGTCACATTAGTAGTAGTCTTTAATTCTGCTACTAATTAAGTAGAGAAACAACATTATTTTTCTGTATTTAAAACCACTCCATATGGCACTCTATCTCCAATTATATTGGACTACAAGGGTCTCAGCTCTCAGCAGAGAACAGAGAACACAGGAGACCTAGCAGGTGGCTAAAAATTGTAGTAGAACCAGGCCATGAAAGTTCACTAAGTGACTTTGAGCTAATCACTGATTCTTAGCTGAGCCTACCTCTCAGGGCTATTGTTGAAAAAATAAAAATAGAGGAAACAGTGGGCATAAGTTTAATTAAACCAGTGGCATTGCAGTAGCATATCTGGAAAAGATCAGGGTGAATAAAAGGAGGTTTACGTGAAAGACCAAATGTACTTTTTCCTGCACTGATGGATTTGGGATTTTTAAAAAAATAATAATTGAAAAATATAAGCAATGTACCCCAAGTAGAATAGTTGATAGTCCTTCATTTTACTTGCTTTCACTTTTATCATCTGAAAAGCAGAATCGGGATTTCCTAACCAAATAATAAGCAAGCTATATTAAGCAATCCTCCTCACTGTACATTTTAACATCAATTAACAAATTCCACTTACTTCACTTATCTGCAAAAATCCTCGTAATCAGAAGGAACCAGATGCCCAACAGAAAGTAGCCAGCTGCTCACAGGGAGGCCACTGGACCTCCTCTCCCTTGCCCAGCCCTGCAGAGGCTAAAAGGTTTTGTTTACTTGCACAGCATTATGGAGGGAGGGATGAAACCTTCCTGGGCCAACCAGTCACTGAATTACAAACTTCCTGTTCCTTATTTACTTTCCTGTGGTCAGGTGGAGAATTTCATTTAGAGAAGAAAGGGAAGAGCCCTTTCTGGCCCTCTTTCTGCATCTCCAGTCCCATCTCTTGCTAAGCTAAATGTGTGTGCATCCTTAATAATTTGGCAGAGGGTCTCTGCACTTCCTCAGAGACAATCTGGCATGCTGAGGCTGCAAATCTCAAGGCCAACAACAGATTTAAGGGTCTCTGTCATTAAGACCCCGAGTCTTCGGGTACTCGGATCGTTCTCCCAAGGCAAGGCAAGCCACATGTCACTGTTGCCATTCGCTCTTCTGAGCAAGCCAAGAGCTCCGTCTTGAAGCCTCCCGAGTTCCTGAATCTCCTCAGCTTGGCTACCTCGCACAATAAATACCACGACGCACACTCGCCCCGTCTTAAAAAATGTAGGTCAGTCAAATAGGGAGGGGAAGAGCTGGAGTGTTTGTGTTGTTCTGTGCAACAAGAGGCAAGGAGGTGGATCTGCACCACCCATCCACCCAGAAAGGTCTAAGCGCGGCCCCTCCACCGCGCAGCGCCGCCGTCCTTTTCCAAGCGCGGATCTGCTGCGCAGAACTTCCCACTACTCGGCCGGCCGCAGAAGAGCTTGTCTGAACTGGCCTGAAGGAAGGCACCAGGAGCCCAGCGGAGGAATAGCGCCGCACGCCCGCTGCCCGCCATGTACCTTGCCCGCAAACAAAGCACACCCGCGCCCGCCGACAACTCCAGCGCGCGAGAAACGAGCCGGCCTCTCCCGGGAGACCCCCCCCAGGCCAGGGGGCTGCAGGTGGGGAAAGGGCGGGGGGAGAGGAGCCGCCGCGAGGCGTTCGTGTGAAATCACCTCTTCCAGCCGCCCCTCGTCCGCCTCTCCAGCGGCAGGAAGGAGTCGCCGCGCGCCTTTCACGAGCTTTGCTGCTGCCGCCGCCGCCGCCCTACTTCTTTCCCTAGGCGAATGTGTGTTAGTAGGTCAGCCGGTTGCATAAGCGCTTCTAAGCGCCTCCGTCACGCTCCCGAAGTCGCCACACAAAACAAATCGAGGGGAGGAGCAGGGAGAGGCGAGGCGGACGAGCGGGCGAACTAGAGGGGCTGGGCCGGAGCCAAGGAGCGAGCGAAGAGCCACGCGGGAGGCGCTGTCGCTGGGGAAGAGACGGAGCCAGCCAGCCGCTCCCTCTTTTCCTCGCCCGCTCGCGTTCAGCACTGGAAGCGGCTGGCGGTCGCTTTGCTTTGCTCCCAAAGCTGCGCGGAAAAGAAGCGAGTCCGCGCCTTCTCCGAGCGACCGTTGCGCTGCTAGCCGGGCTCCTGCTCCAAGGAGTTTCCGACTTACCCGTCTGGCTTCTGACCCGACCCGCTGACGTGTAGCGAGAGCGCTGGCTTGTTTGTAGGAAAAGACTCGCTGCCCGGCCGGCTGGGCCTTCAGGGGCTCCGTGGTGCCAAGGCTCGCCAGGGCAGCATGTGCTAAAGCTGAAGGCCGGACGCACCGCTTACGCCAGAACAATAGCTTTAAAGCGAGATCTCCGGTCCAAAACAAGGCAAGGTTTCCTACCAGTTATAGTAAAGAAGCAAAGGAGCGCAGGACAGGCAGGAAGAACGCTGAGCTGAACCTGAACCCCAATGGTTGGGAAGACCCTCTGGGCCTTTTCTTCTACTTTTTACAATCATAGCTTTCAGAGTTTAGTGCTAATGTTGAAAAACAGAAGCTGAGGCATTGTATACGAAGTTATTAGTACCGCTTTATACAGCCTTAGTAAGACCACACCTGGAATACTGCATCCAGTTTTGGTCACCACGTTATCGAAAAGATGTTGAGACTTTGGGAAAAAGTGCAAAGAAGAACAACTAAGATGATTAAGGGCCTGGAGAAAAAAAAAAACATATGAAGAATGGTTGCAGGATTTGGGAATGACCAAGAGAAAAGAAAAGATTCGGGTGACATTATAGCAGTATTCCAGTATTTGAGAGGCTGCCACAAAGAACGGGGTCAGCTTATTTTCCAAAGCACCAGAAGGCAAGACAAGAAACAATGGATGGAAACTAATCAAGGAGAGAATCAACCTGGAATTAAAGAGAAACTTATTAACAGTGAGGACAATTAACCAGTGGAACAACTTGCCTTCAGACATTGTGGGTGGTTCATCACTGAGTTTTTTAAAAAAGATTGGACAGCCCCCTATCTGAAATGGTACTATAGGGTTTCCTGTTTGAGCAGCGATTGGACTAGAAAACCTCCAAAGTCCCTTCCAGCTCTATTCTGATTGATTCATTTAGTCTGTTCACACCTGTTTGGGAAAAAGGCTGTGCTAGCCAAGGCAAGAGATCCAAAACATTTTGTGAGAAGTTCTGGAAAGCGAAGAAAGACATTGCATTAATGCATTGCATTAAGTAAATTAAGAAAAACACTTAAACTTGAGCACTTTCTCTTCCTTGTTTTAAATTCAGGAAGTGGGTCTCTGAATTTCCATGACCTTTGACCCTAACTCAAAATGGGCACAGCACTGTACACGTGTCATCTACAATTAGCCTCCCCTTGATATAACAGGAAAAAGAATAGAGCAGTGTTTCTCAACTTTGATAGCTGGAAGATGTGTGGACTTCAACTTCCAGAATTCCCTAGCCAGCCATGCTGGATGAAGAATTCTGGGAATTGAAGTCCACACATCTTCAAGCTTCCAAAATTTAGAAACACTGGAATAGAGGATTGTGTGCTTTGTTGGAGAGCTAGAGGCAAAGGAAGTGATTTGATAGAAACACCCATATGTTCCCTTCCTTTCTCTACAGCTTTGGGGAGTTACATCGCGAGTTTTAATCTTAGCTGGTGGGTGGAAAATGACTGCTACAGAAGCCTTATGCTTCCTCTAGGTCAGGGGTAAGCAACCTTGGCTCTTTTATGACACGTGGACTTCAACTCCCAGAATTCCTGAGCCAGCCAGCCATGCTCAGCCACGAGTCATAAAAGAGCCAAGGTTGCCTACCCCTGCTCTAGGTGCTATGCACAATTTCAAAACCCCTGTTCCCTCTATCCTGAAAAATAAACATTTAGACTTGCAGACATGCCCAAACATGAAGAGGCTGTGATAACTTGTCTGCTGACGAATGTGCATTATAGATGCAAACATGCACAGATATAAACTGTGTGCCTACAATTTGATGTTACAAGGTATACTCTGTGTAACAATAGAAAAATCATCCCCCTTTTTGAGAGAGAGAGAGAATAAAAATCATGCAAAAGCCCATACAGGGAACGTTAACATAATATTTGTCTCTCTCTGCTTTAAGTGCTTAAGAAAAGGTGGAGTTTATATACCATTCTGATAGATACAGTTTGATGAAAACTGAGATTGCTCATTAATGGGAATTCTAGAAATTATTTTAACTGAGCAGAGTTTATGGTTCATAGGGCATAGTACGTAGCCATATCTAATTGCTTTAATAGAGCATATTAAGAACATTTGTTCTTATGTTATAAAGCTCTATACATTTAGGTCTAGTGGTTTGGATACCAGTCTAGAAACCAGGAGATTGTGAACTAGGGCCACCTTAGTCATGCAAGATGGCTAGGTGACTTTAGGACAGTCACTATATCTAAGTTCAGCTCATCTCACAGGGTTGTTGTTGTGGAGGAAGGAGTAATGGGTATGTTTGGTCCTTGGGTTATAAAGGTAGGATTTTTAAAAATCTAAATAAATAAAACCCATCTTGTCTGATATTTAAAAAAATTACATTTCCATATAAATTATCCTTCCAAAACTGTTTAATTTATGTGAAGCTGTAAGATAACCTGAGAATAAACAGAATTATTACTACTGTAATAAAAATTAAAGCAGCCCATAGATCAATATTATAACTTGTAAACTGCCCACGGTCACCTTATAGGTGAGATAGGCGGTATTAAAATTTAATAAATAAATAGATAAGTTAATTAGCAAAATTTTGTGGTCAGTAAAAAGCTACTACTCCCAACTTGGGAGGCCTTTAGAATGGTCATTAAGGATGAGGAACAAAGGTTTCCCTTGACAACAAAGTTGTGTTAGATTGGCAGCTTCCTCTCTCCTGCCCCTGAAACTTCCTGTTTGTTAAGGGCATTATTTTACTCATGCTTTCCAGGCATGTAATTGGGGAAATGATGGAGCTGATGACCCTCTTGGGACAAAAGTAAAAAATGGCAATTAGGAACAATTATCAACTTCTCCCCCAGGTTTGTGAGTGAGCAGTAATATGTTTCTGAGCCCCAGAAGTCCAGTTCTGCAGGAGACATTTGGAGAACATTTTCTGTGCTTCTTTGGGCTGAATATTGAGGCATGCAGGGAAAAAGAAGAGGCTAAAGTCAGGCACGGCTCTGCTCATGAGCCGGGGCATCTCTACAATACCGTAGGCGAGACAACATAGAATGAAGCTGGGGAATTGCAAGGATCTGGTCTGCTTCCTCTGCCTTAATTTGCACGAAGAAATAAGCTCAGGCCACATGGTCACTCTTTTAAAAATCCTGAAGTGTAAATACATTCTTACTCAGATCATTTAACACTTTATAAAATAGTGATTTGGCAGTGATGTATCCTTACAATTGAATATGATCTGAAATGGGGGGGGAGTTACTGTCCCATTTTCTGCCACCATACCCCATAGCTTGATCGCAAAGGATGGCCCAACGCTTCCCACAATTGTTACTCATTTATTGTAGGGGGCACGAGACTTTCAGGCAAGCACATCAATGCTCCAAATCTCACTGTATTCTGACTTTTCCTCACCAGCGTTCCAGTTCCAACACAGTATTTGTATCATGGTAACTGTGGGCCAGGTAGTGAGGCCAGAGCTCTGTGGAAGATGTGGTGTGCACATAATGGTCACATTTTTCACAAAGTGTGTGTGTGGTGGTATCATGCATGCATTTCATCTGCAGTGGTTGGAATTCAGGTTTTGACAGTAAGTCACACTATTTAGAGGTGGGATAACATGTTTATCAATGTGTACAGGTAGTCCTCAACTTACAACCATTCATGTTCGAAGTTACAATGGCATTGAAAAAGTGACCTATGATAGTTTTCACACTTACAACCATTGCAGCCTCATGGTTATGTGATCAACATTTGGGTACTTGGCAACTGTCAATGGCTTTTATGGCAGTTGCAATATCACGGGGTCATGTGATCACAATTTATAACATTCCCAGCTGGCTTCCAACGAGCAAAGTCAATGGGGGAAGTCATGTTTGTTTAACAACTGCATGAGTCACTTAACTGCAGTGATTCGCTTAACAGCTGTAGCAAAAATGTCATAAAATGGGGCACAACTCCCTTAACAACTTTCTTGCTTAGCAATAGAAATTTTGTCGTAATTTGTGGACTACCCATATAATACAAACATGCAGATGGGAAACAAAAGTATTTCAAAATGTTACAATGCAGAACTGCATTTTCAAGAAACTTTGTGAATTGAAAACAAAAAATAAAAATTGCATTTTCAAGACACCTCATGAGTCCTTTGCAGAAATGTTCTGGGCTGCAGGCAAAGATCATAATGGAGAGCAGAATAAATGACAAAATCCTACGCAATTTATGTCTGTGGAGATTCTCAGTCATTCAGTCATGCTTTTTCCAAAAGGCAACTGGTTGTGTTTTTTTTCTTTGAAAACATTTTGCTTCTCATCCAACAAACTTTTTCAGTTCTAACTGATGATGAACTCCCACTCATATGGCGTATGGCATTTGGATGAATGGCACTCACTGCATATATGGAGACTTACATATATGATTTCCCAGTTACCATGCATATGACTAAGTATATGCATTTTGTCTATTAGGTTTTTCAATAAACAAATCATCAGTTTAAGAAAAGACTCCTAAAATTATTGTTGGGCTAGAATCTAGACAAATAAATCAAAATGTACCCCAGGCAATGTGTCCACAAACTTGCCATCTATCAAGAAATTCTTAATCCACTATTCAAAGAAAAATCTTGGACTCTGCAGAACAGAATATTTGCTAAAAGGGAGCATACCTTGGTGTTGGGGCTCAGAATATCCAAAGGATGCCCCCCCCAGAGCAATAAAATAATGTAATGGAAATAACTGGCCATTTATACTCTTCAGAATCTGCTGTCTCAGCCCAACTAACTATGGAGGAAACTGAGGCAGAGCTTGCCATGCTGGTGATCATTGGGTGGAAGAGCAAAAACAGCTGCCAATTTTGTGCTTACTAAGTACTTGGGTAAAATTATTTCTGTAAGATTCTTATTCCATTTTCCCATGGATTTTTACAAGGGCAGATTGCTATTTTCTATCCAAATGGGCTTCATCCTTCCACACGGAAGATTTGAGACTAAATGAATACCAGTTGTATGGAAGATTTGCATCGGAAAAACACACTCTTGACCAGCCTTCTGCTGTGTGGCCTCATCGAGTCCCACCTCTGGGTGAGTACTCTTGGCTGCATCTTACACCATCCTGCACCGTGGTGGGCACTTCCCATTTTAGCAGGCTCCAATGTCCCTTTGCTGACCCCCCCCACACACACACACAAGGCTCCCCAGCCTACACTGGAGACCTGTTGGCCTTATCTACTGTTCAGGAGCAATCTACTTCCTTTCTGGTTTTTAGTAAAACTGAAGATAAAATAATCCTACCTCTTCAGTCATATTATAATTGTCTTCTTAGAGTTATCTCTTAAGGAGGTTATAAAAGACTTTTCTAGTAACTCACCCCCTCTGAAATATATATAATACCTGAACTGGTAAAGGAACCAGTTTTCCTTCCCTTGTCCTGGGCAAATTATCCACCAATATTTCATGTAACATTTTAATTGCTAAAGAAAGTGTGTCAAGTGGTTGACAAACATAGCCATGAGAAAAAAGAGGATTAATTTAAGGGCGGGGACATATGGGAAAACACATAGATTTACACCACAGATTTAACATGATAAAGCAGCAAGGATGGAGACTCACTTTTGTCTAATGTCATGGGGCCCTTGACTTAATTTTGCCTTCGACCACCACCACCCTCAGGCAGAGGATCTGTCCAGAGCTATGGGTCTCTTCTTCACAGCCTCAGTTATACTAAACATAGGACTACCAGATCTGGGCTACAAAAATCTGGATGACCACAAAAAATCTGGATGACCACAGGATGCCAGGAAAAAGTCAATAGTTTTCTGCATCTCTATTCCTATTATTTAATGTCAGCAAACAAGGATTTTGAGAAAGATTGGGCAGGTCTTCACGCACTTTTGCCTCTGGCTCTATGCATGGCTTCTTTCAGCCCCACCCACCATGACCTTCATGGAAAAAACGCTTGCTAGAACCAAAGTGAAAGTCAACAGAGAGGAGTCAGCAACCTCAGCTAACCGCAGTCTCAGGATTAGGGCTGTTTGGAGGACTTTTGCTCCTGGAACTGTGGGATAAATTGGAGGACCTGATGACATGGCTTTTGGCAAAGTGGGCTCCTTTGGAGGGCACCGGGCAACTGTATCCTCCAGTACCTCTTTGCCGCTTCCTTCTCCTCCTTCTCCATCACCTAGTCACTTTGTCCTGCCCAATTTTAAGAGCAGCTGTGCTATGCTCCTGCAAGGCAGCCCTGACCTTGGCACAAGCTGGTACAATACAGACTTTAGGAACAAAGAACAGAAAAGTGGGTCTGAAAGTGTGCAGTGGTAGTAAGTGTAACTGAGTGTGGAACAGCCAATAGTTAAGGCAAAAGAGTCAAGTCAAATCAATCTGGTTCGTTTTAAATGATTCTGCAATGAGTGTGTCACTGTTTCTCAATCTTGGAAACTTTGAAATGTGTGGGCTTCAATTCCCAGAATTCCCCAACCAGCATGCTAAAACATGAAAAATGCTGGAGTAACTCATTTGCCTCCAGGAACAAAGTGCCCCTGAAATTTTAAAACTCTCACTGCTCGGACAGCACGTTTATTGTCAGAAGCCACTACATAAAAATTGCTTTGTAGTCTTTTGTTTTCTTCTTCCGTATCAGCAGAATGTTTAACTTTATTTTTACTTTTGTTTTGTTTTGTGATTCTGTTCCCAATGGGTAGGGAGAAGTCAAAAAAGCAGCCAAGCTGAGCAGGCAGAAGTATTCTTACACCCCCTTCAGGAAAGTGTCAGCATGGCAGCATTTTGAAAATTATCAAAACTATTGTGTCTATTATTAATAAGTAATAGACCTTATCCTTACAAAGAAATATTTATTCCAAACAGTGAAGGAAAATTTAAATTAAGAAGTTGCTCCTAATTTTTATAGCTGGGATACAGGCATTCAAACTTTGTTGCGTAAGTTTCTCTTTCTGTATGTAGTAATTTCCCACTTTCCTGGGAAAACATTTCTGGTTCTTTCACTTCTGGAAAAATTATGCAATAAGAGAGAACTGATTTCAGGTTACAGTTCTGTACAAAATGACAGAAGGCTCATTTTAAGTGGTTAGACTAGTCTTCAATCCAGAAGACTTCAATTCCTGGCTAATATGGGAACTAAATTCTAATACGGTACTTATGGTACTAGCAGAAAAAACCCAGCTGTAGAAGGCCTAGTTGGATTTTTGGACTATATTTCAGAAATGATGGGGCCCTCTTCATAGAACAGACAGTAAGTCACACAGCCTGACAATCTGTTATGTGCTGCATTGTAGTGTTGCCAGTGGACATGTTTCATTGTTCTATGTCTGTGTGTATAGAGTTATACAGTCTACTTTCCAGATGAAATTGGTGGGAGGGAGACTTGCCTCTTTCCATTATGGTAAAATCTAAAATAGGATTTTAAACAGAGGCATGATCACAATACATTATATAAAGGCATATTTTTCATTCTTCCAGATACAGTAGAAGATTCCTAGTTCTGCAGTCAGAAGCTATTAGGTTTCATTCATCTTTTTGCCCTTCGAGATTATTCTGTAGGAGAAAAATAATGGGGGAAGCAATGGGAAAGTTAGAAAAATATTAGCACTGTGCTGACAATTGAAAATATTTACTAAAGTACACTACAGTACTCATATCTCATACATGTTGAGGATACAAGTAATCCAAGTCTTTATTAAATCACTGAAACAACACACTTCAAAACCAAATGACTAATCAGCTAACAGTTCTTCAACTGAATATTTGCAATGTCAATATTTTCACACTGAAGCAGATGAAATATGAATAAAGCACGTTGGAGCATGTGCAGAGTACTTTTAGCACTCAAAGAGTCAGTTTCCATGCGCATCTGAAGTACTGGGAAAAGTAATTCAAGACATGAGAAATCCAGAAACTTTGTTCTAAATCAATTTGCTAATTTTCCTGGGTTTACCCATCTTGGTAGCTGATGTAGAGGTAGTTCTTGACTTACAACCACGATTAGGATTAGAATTTCCATTGCTAAGCAAGGCAGTTGTTAAGTCAGTTATGCACAATTTTTTTGCCATGATTGTTAAGTGAACTGAATTACTGCAGTTATTAACTGAATCACACATTTGTTATGCAAATCTGGCATCCCCCACTGACTTTTCTTATCAGATGCCATGTGGGAATGTCGCAAATGGTAACCCCAGGATGCAGCACCAGTTCTAAATATATGCCGGTTGTTAAGCTCCTGAAATTTGATCACATGACTGGCAGATGCTGCAACTGCAAGGACCAATGGTACCCTTGTAACTTCAAACAGTCACTAAACAAGTGGCTACAAATTATAATGTATGCTCATTATAATGTACTTCAAGTTTCTATCTAGACCAACCAAATAGGGAGAATGAAGTTATAAAAAGGCAGCCTGGAATCTACCTGGGCTCAGGAACAATTTTCTAATGATTGTTTCCCAGAAGTCCAGTTAGACACGATCAGTTAGACATGATAGGCACTAATATAATTTTTAAAGGAATATAGTACCTAGCTCAGTGGTGGCGAACCTATGGCACGCGTGCCAGAGGTGGCAATCGGAGCCCTCTCTGTGGGCACACGTGCCGCCGCTGCCAGCAGCTTGCGCAGGTCTATTAGGCTGCTGCTGCCGTCCAGGGCAGCAGCTGCACCCAGCACAAAGGAAGTGAAGCGGCCAGCTAGCGAGCTCGAGTAGAGGTGGTAAAGCATGCCCACACCCAGCAAGCCAAAGGCCACCCCAAGCAGGGAAAACCGGATCTCTATCGGCGCCATGGCCCCCCAGTCCCAGCTAGAATTGCATGCCTCCCCCATCTATGCTGGGCCTCCTGCCCACCGCCCCACCTGCCAGACACCCCATGGATCTCCCCCAACCCTGCCCGACCCCCAGAGGCATCCCCCCCATGAGCGGCATCGAGGTGGCCATGCCCACCCCAGCCACACCCACTCAGTGGGCCACACCCCCATACCCCCTTCTGAGGGCACCACAATGCCCTGGCACTTTGCAATAAGTAAGTGGGTTTTGGGTTGTGGTTTGGGCACTCGGCCTCTAAAAGGTTCGCCATCACTGACCTAGCTTCAAGGAAGATTGTACTAAGGGTTGCCAGTTCTAGCACCTCACTACACTTCAGATGCTTCTGGATCAGATTAGTCAACTATAAGCTGTTGCCCAAGGGACACCCGAATGTGGCTCCTTTGGAATTGTGATGACATGCACACAGCAACACATATGTATACCTGTCCTTTGTATCCTGATCAATGCACAATTGAGGACCTCATGACACCATGATGGAATGCAATGAATGTTACTAGTTTCTGGGCAAGGTCTGTTTCAATTGTACATATTTTAATCTTGTATTTTATATTTTAAATGTTATGTTGTATAGTATGCCTTATTTTAATTGTGATGCTTCTGACACTAATAAAGGAATAGGATGTAGGATGCAAAATTCCAGGCCATCACTAAATGGTTCTCTGCTACCACCATTCAGTGGTCATTCAGAGTTTTGCAATCCATTTAAGGTAGCCCTGATTAGTCTGATAGCTATCTTATGGACCATGCAGAGAATGTGTACCTTGTGTCTTTCCAGTATGCCAGCAGTAGTTGTGACCCATTCACCCCACTAAAACTGAATCAAGTATTCCCATGCTAGATGGCCTCCCTTAATTACATGTATGGGAAATCAATATAGAATGTGGAAAGAGCAAGAAAGAGCACACAGTTAAAGGAGGACGGGTTTTCCTTACTACAAACCTTTACAACAAAAGTAAACACCCAGGGTTAAATGTATGCAAATGTAAACTTGGGAAGCACTGAAAGATGGGGTAAGGGGAAAATAATGATACAAGATTTGGGCAACACAATCCTTGACTACTTCATATGGCAGCAAAAAAAAAAAAAAATGGATAAAATGTTAGCTCTTTCCTACCCTCTAGTGGTAATTCAATTTTTGCAGCCAATATTTGGTAGCCCTGGGAAAGAAGGGAAGAAAAGTGACCCCCCCTTCTATCCTTGCCCCCCCCCCCCGCTTCAATTCATTTTGATGAGGATTTGTTCAGAGAATAGTTTTTTCAGCTGGGCCACTTCAGCTGAAAGTGAGGCCAGCTGACTTTGTAGGGACTGGTTCTCTGCCTGGTACTCAGGCTCTTGAGGCGCCCTGGGGACTTCTGTTTCACAATTACTCTCAAATGCCAGGGTACCTGCAGAACACCCTGTGCTTGGCTGCTCCTTCCGTGTCACCAGCCCCCTCCATGGTCCTCCTGGTGGAGAAAGTGGGCAATGTCCAGACTGTTCTCCAGCTAGCTCCTCTGACCCTACCGCCATTTTGAAGCGCAACTTGTGGGGAAGACCTTTGATGCTCTCCCCAGAGTCGTAACGGCCAACACGGCCCAGATCAGCTCCATCAGCTGAAGCATCGGGTACTAGGCAATGCCTCTCATACATAATTCCTTCCTCTGACCTATCACGTTCCTCAAAAAAGACAGGACTTCCCAGGTTGGAGCTTCCTGGGGTGGAAAAGCCAGAGTCCTCAGAGCTGGTAGCTGGCTCTGGATGGAAGGTGCAAGGGTAGTGGGGTAGTTCAGGAGCCACTGGGAAGTGCTGGGGTAGAGTGGCTGGCCGATGGAGTTCACTGGCCAGTGTAAGCGCTGGCTGTGGAGCTTCTGCTGGATCCTGGATCAAGCCAAAGCGGAACTTGAGGGCTAAGAGTTCTGCCTTCAGGCGGGCATTTTCCTCCAGCAGGGCCAAAACTCGTCCTTCCAGGGCTAAATCACTGACCCGCCGTTTCTCTCTCGAGCGTTTGGCTGCTTCGTTGTTCTTCTTCCTCTTGTCCCAGTAGCCATCATCCTTCTTCTCATCTGGGGTGAATTCTCGCTTGCGCCGGGCCATGGTTGAAGGCACCCCTTGCTCTTTCTGCTGTGCCCCCAGGCTTCCAGCTGCCCTGAGCAGGGACTGGCTTAACAAGCTATTGACAGAAAGGAATGACACAGTCTCCTCTGCAAAACAAGACACGGCAGCCTGGAGCTCACACACTGGCTCAGAAGTTGGAAGTGCTGATAGAGGTTCTGATGGAGGCTGGGTTGGAGGTTCCTCCAAAGGCAGATCCATCTCCCCAAAGTCTGCAAAATGAGAAGAAGGAAAGCAAATCAGAGCATATTACAGCTGTACCCACTTGGGGAATGCCAGCAAGGTCAAAGAGAAGGACATGCATATGCCTAGCCTGCTGTTTGGTGGCCAAGTGGTTAGAGATCTCTGTAGTTCTGAATCTTGGGTATATGGATGCTCCCACAGCTTCGAGGCCTCAATCATAAGACCACCTAATAGAGGAAATTTAGAAAACCCCAACTATTTGTTGCTCTCTGGTGGCTGCTTTGATAACACTTGATATCGCTACTCACTACAGAAAGATGCAGTCCCATAACATACATTCCTATTAGCCACACTAAATTAACTGCACACAAAATCACAGCAAAATATGAGGTTTCTAGAAGATTGCTATATCTCTATATATCTAAAAGGCAGAGAGGCAATCTTTAAAATATTAACATTTATTAGTCATTCCTAAGATGCTTTTAACTGCATATTCATTTATCCTCAGAATAGTCCTCTAATAAGGTAACTTACTATTTATGACTCATCTACAGATGGGCACCACCACCACCTCAGTTCCTGCTGTGCTGTCTCATGGGGAGGTTTTGGAGGGGAGGTGTCCTGGGAGGGATGAGAATGTCAATGTATGCTCAGGGTATATATTCCCACCCAAGGCATGAAGGTCATCCCAGCTATACAGCTAAAGCAAACAGATACCTATAGTGAACAGCAGTAATACAGGAAAAGGCTGGAGGCAAAGGATCCCTTTAGTGACCACAGAGAAGGCATCCATTCATGCTGTGTGGGAGAAGGCAATGGTAAACCACTCCTGCACTTTCACCAAGAAAACCACATGGACAGAGAATATGAAACATTTGATGGCACAGTGCTGGACAATGACCCTTCACGTCAGATGGCATTTAATGAGGAACAGCTGAGGATCTTTTGGGGTACTAATGGTACAGTATTTATGCAGTGACTAGATTAAAATCTTTGGGATATCTAATTGCTGATCTTGCCATTCAGGAAAAGAAAATCCAAAGCTGCAAAGGCAGAATTACAGTAGGAACAGGGAATGTAAGAAGCATAAACGGAAGAAAATTGAAATATGAAATAAAATTACCATATAGTAACATGTTAGGCATCAGTGAATTAAAATGGGCCAGGATTAAACACTTTAATCAGAAGATCACACTGCTTATTACTTAGGACGTGAAAAACAATAAAGGAGTGGAGCTGCTTTTATAGTTAGGAAGGACACAGTAAGAACGGTACTTGGCTACAATACATTCAGTCACTGAATAATACTGATTAGATTTTTGTGAACAACCTTTTAATGTGATAATCACCCAGATTTGTGCTCTTGATACAAATTTGTGATCACTAATACAAAAGAAGAGGAGGTTGATGAGTTTTAAGATCAAGTTAAATTTGAAATTGACAGCCTGCTGGCAAGTTGTGCTGTTTGTGATTGGGGACTGGAATGGCAAGGTTGGAAATACTGAAGAAAATGTAGTTGGACCGTATGGCTTAAGAAATCAAAATGGAGCAGTAGAACAACCAATCCATTGCTGCTGGTCCAATTAGTTCTTCATAGCTAACACAGATTTCAAGGTCCAGTGTAAGTATAATTTTAAAACGAGCAAAACAGCCAAGAAATACATAACAGGTTGCATTTGGTAGAGCAGCCATGAAGGCCTTGGAAAAGATATTCAGTTGCTGTGATGTGTCTATATTGTATCAACAAAGATCAAAATAGTGCAAGCAATGGTATTCCTTGTGACCCTCTATGAAAGCAAAAGTTGGACTTTGAAGGAGTAGGATAACTCTTTAAAACCATTTCTCAGAGTAGTTGACTAGCAATGCCTTAAAGATTTACATTTTATTTTGTTATAAATTCAAATAATTTTATCTTCTACCTGATACATTATGCAAAATACATTTGTTTGACCCAAGGCTACCTATAGACAGTGTGGAATTTTTTAGGCTATCCACTGTGGGGATGTTTTTTTTTTTTTTTTAAAAAAAGAAAAGATTCTCCAATAAGAAACAAAAACAAAATTCATATGGTAGCTGTAATACAACTATTGTGCAACATCACATTAAAGTTGTGATCAGATAGAGCATATTACATAAATAAAATTTAATTCATGAATAAGGGATGGGGTCTTCAGCATGGCACACCTCAGTAGCACTTAAGACATATATAAAGCACACTAGAAAAATAAGTGGCAAAACAGGGAGCAATGTCACTACGGAGTCTATGTTTACAATCAGCCTAGGTTTCAACAGCAAATAGAAATGTTTATCTTCAGCCCTGCCTCAAATGAGGGCAATCTTCTCCTGGCTTTTAGAAAAGAGTAAAACGGTTTATTTCCTTATTCTGCATTCCAGGCTCTGTCATAACTAGGACATGCTACCCCCTCTCCCACCCACGGTTACCCTATTACCCAGTTCATCTGGAACATTCTGGCCAAGAACAGGACAAGACATGCTATTCTATCAAAGGAGCCTGAACAAAAACTCAATTCAGTGAACGAAATCATCAGAAAAGCCACAAATTTGCCCTCCCACTGCCATCCCTAATATTATTTACTGCTCTTATAGACTGTTTCACTGGGCAGGGTTGAAATACTTATCCACAAGGTCTTGAACTGGCAGAGCTACAGAGTGTAGCTTAGAGCAAGATGTTCACATTACAGCTATCCATGCAAGTGATTTATAGCTTCATTCAATGATTGCTATGGTGATTACATGCTAATGCAGACAAAACTGCAATGGCTAGACAATGCTACAAATCATTAACCAAGGGGGGATGTCTTCTTCACAGCTGAATTATACTAATATTTACCAGTTCTTTTGCTGACAAAGTACTATCACAAACAGAAAAGCCACTGCTGCCACTGGCTACCTTTAGTCTGCTTCAGGAAGGTTGCCAGCATATGCGTTGCCTTTATTTGCTATATACAGGGAATGTTTGAAACTCATGGATTCCCCAGCGTTGTTCTCATTCTGAGAGGGTCAGTTTAGGGACCAGGTGAGTACTGGGAGAGAGCCATATGTGGAAGAACTGGATCTTCCTATTGCCCAGAGCAGAATGGCCTTAGAAAACAGTGCCTGGGCCTCAGGACAGAAGTGCTGCATTAACTTAAAAAAGACAGTACAGTACCCTGATCCCATTTCCTCAAGGCAAGCTGATTGTGACTCCAAGCAAATACTTGAAGTACTTTGCACCCACAGCCAAAATACATCTGGTCTGCTTAGAAAGAGAAATGCTACTTTAAAACCAGAGCAACCAAAAACAACTTTGACCTGCCTTAAGAATGGATTTGGAATGAGATGAAGGTGACCTCATGAGGAAATAGTAATTGGTGGGGCACATTTGTGTCATGGTTGGGTGCAAGAGGGGAAAGGCCTGATGAATACATGATATGAAGGAGAACTCCATATTCCTCTTGTGAACATTGATTCTTTATGAACTGCTTGTTGACTGACGCTTACCCCACACCAGTGGAATCCGGGTCATAGGCAGCCTTGAGACCCGTAATTCGACTAGATGGAAATCTGTTAAGAGAGGCATTTTTGAGCCTTGGGGGGGGGAAGAAGGGGGGAGCCTTGATTTTCAGACTATCTGAGTTGCAACTCTTGAAGGAAAAGCAGTGTTTCAAGGTACCTATGTCTTATTCTGAAAACATATATTGAAGAGCCAACAATATGTTCAGCTCCAAAAGGATGACCTTTCTATCATTTGGAAAAACAAGAAGTATGAAATACTTTTACCGGATTACCCAAAGATTTTCTCCAGCATCTACTCTAACAACATCTATAACCACAGCGGCAGCATGGATTTTGCACGTGCTGTGTACTTAAAGAGTCAAGTTCTGCACTAAGTCCCAGTGTTTCAGAATAGTTTCAGAGCAAATACAACATACGTCTGTCTCCTCCAATGTAGATCTTCCATTGAGAACAAATGGAGTGGCTACAGAGTGCTGGCTTCCTATGGAGGTTCGAGTATGTAATGCTGCATCTAGGTAAGTGAAGAGAACTCCACAAAAATATACATTTTTGATCAATCCAGGGGATTTAATATGCACAACACTATAGCATTAAACCATACACTGTTTCTGTAGTATTTCATAAAATTTATAACCTTCTTATCACCACTTGTAGATATTGTATGAGAAGAGCTGTATTAGTTTATGATGACAAAAAATCAGGAGCCTGGTAGCACCTTTTTTGACTTATAGTTCACTTTATCAGATGCTTAGAGTGGCTAGGCCGGTGTAGAATTTAAAACTGGATGTGAATTCAATTCATCAAAAGATTTCAGGCAATCTCAGAAGGTTTCAACAAGCACAACAAACACTATAATTACAATTATAAACTGATAAGTTGCTTGTAATCTGTGTGATATGTAATCTGCTGATTTTTGTGCAGATTTGTCTTCTCTCCCCCTCCCCTACCCCACTTTATATCACCACTTGGACAGTGTGTGGTGTCACAACATTCTACACACATCACATGAGCAAATCAAAATACTATATAAGAATACAATGTAAGCATATCAACATTCACATCCTTAAAATAATTTGACATTGTTTAAATCATATCTGTCATCCCAAATTTTCCAAGTAAAGACTATTTAAAAATAAAATGGTATGGTATAAAATAAAGAGCATGCACTGCATTAATAAAGAGCATACATTATTATATACCAGAATCATCAGTGTATATCTACACTGACCCAGACATCCAAAGCATCCATTTTTTAAAAAAAGAAGTAAATAACCAGGTAGGCTTAAATTTATTCACAGCCAATTTATCTTCCAATTCTGCAAAAAACTCTTATTCTAAGTGACAGACAGGAGACAACTTTGCTTAGCCATTCAAAAGTCCAAGGGAAGCGTGCTTTGCACATGCTCAGAGGCATGTGCTGCCCCTAATAAAATAGGGGGCGCCAAGCCTTGAATGGAAAGAGATCCAGAAATGCATTTCCAAGTCGAGAGCTGGGAAAGTGGGAGGGGGTTGCTTCTCTTTCTTTGTTCCCTCGGCAGATCGGTGAGGAGAAACCCGAAGAAGCGGACAGGTCCTATGGTGAAGTGCGTGTATGTGTGTGGGGGGTCCCTTGCGTTCTCCTAGAGCTAGTAATGGGTTACTGGGCGCTTCTGTGTAAGGCAGGGAGGCAGCGAGGAAAAGAGGGCGGCGGGTGGGCAGAATGAAGTGGGGCAAAGAGGAAGGCGATCACAAACATACGAACAAAGGAGTAGAGCCACGCTGCTCACCCTTGCGAAAGTAGTCTGCAATTAAGCGCAGGAAGTGATTTGTTGATCCAGTTCTCAACAGAAGCGACCTCTATCCTGCGCTATCTCCTCGTACCCTGTTATTTTAAGCGGAGTTGCAATTGTTCGTAACTACGGGTCCTCTGAGTATCTGAGAGACGGAGTACAACCCTCCCTCTCCCGAGATTCTCTGGAGCAGGAAGAGCTGGAATCAAACCGGAGAGCGAGAGACAAGTCTAAACGCATCACTTTGCTGTACCGTAATGGACGCGATATTTGAAACTACATCAGCCCCCCATAAACTTGTAAGCAAATAGAAATCAGGATCCTTTCGACTCAGTCAACCTGCTTTCGCCCCTGGCAGAGGCCAACCCCAAGGCGTCTGCGACCAGGCCGGCGGCTCCCTTTCGCCCCGGAGGCGTCACCTCGCTTGGCTGGAGAACCTCCGCTCCGCAGTCTGGACAACAGGGGCCCCGGCGGTAATTCTGATCTTGCGATAGGCGCCTCCCCAGCGCATCAGAGACGCCCTGGCTGAACTGAGTTCAGCCGAGGACGCCGCCTTACCTCAGTTAACTCCGGCAGCCCGCCAGTGGGAAAAAAGCGGCGAGTAGCCAGGCCAGCGGCACAGCTAATGTTTCACCCCGGGCTGTCTTACCGCCTTCGGCTGCCGCGAAGGAACCTTTCGCTCCGTCCCGTCGGCTAACTTCAACCTTGGCGGGATCCGCTTGGGTTTTTGCTAGAACCCCCGGATGACGACCGGCGCGCGCAGTCCACAAACACAGCCAAGCAGTAAGAAGCAAGTGCCTCCTCCAGCTGGGGAATCTGTGAGGACTATCCTCTTTCAAAGCATCCAGTTCGGGTTTTCCCCTCCCCTCCTCTCCCCTCCCCGTTCACAAAGGGCAAAGGATCTTTATTTAGATGTTATTTGATTTTTAAAACACCACTACAACGTATCAGAAACCCCCGGGAATTTATAGCAAATATCTGGTGATCCGTTAACTACTGTACAGCGGGCCACGGACACTTTCTCTCTCCCCCCCCCCCTTGCTTCGCAAGCCTGCGTCTGCATTTATATTGGAATTTTTGTTCCTCCAATGCCCAAAATTTTATATGGCCTTAGACACTATATTGCTGTAAAGAAGGATAACGTATTTTAAAAATAAAAGTTTGTTAAAAATAAAATAAAGGATGATGCAGTCTGGAGTGACTTGATTATGTGCCAGTGAGTCATTTTCAGTTTCCAGTGATTGACCACATAGATTTTTCTTCAACCTGTTCTTTCAAGCCTCCTAATGGTGCACTTGCCATCATAACTAAGTCCATCCACCTTGCTGTTGGCTGTCCTCTTCTCTTCCATCTTTCCCAGCATTAGAGCCTTTTCCAAAGAGCTTGATCTCTGTATAATCTGTCTGAAATCAGATAATTTGAGCCTTGTTTATTTATTTGTCACTGCCTATTTGGTTATTTTCAGGGTTATTGGACATTGATGCACCATAAAGCAATATGACACATATTTCCAGATTATATCAAAGTGTCAAGACTGCATGGCTTTACAGCACACAGGAAATATAAGGGAAGGATAACAGTTGGAATAAAAATGTAGAGAGAAAAGCAATTTAAACTATGCAGAATGGACCACTTTGTTGGCTGAAAGTAATAAACACTTAAAAATTAATTATCACATGGAAGATAAAAATCCAGAATAATGTTAATTATGGAAAAGACAAAACCAATGCTAATCTACAATTTGTTTTCCTGGGCTTATTTGAAGAGGGTTGCAGGGGGATCAAGGAAGTCAAGATGACTGCCACAGTATGTGATAAAAACCTCATTCCTTTTTATATACATTGCATAAAAAAGAATGGGACATGTTTTTAAAATGGTGGGACGTTGGATGGTTATGGCCATCATCTTGATTTTTTTGGACACTCTCCCTTTGGGCATTCCTGGGCTCAAGAATAGATAGATGAACAATATGCTGGAGAAATAAAGAGATTAGTGTTAGGAAGGAGGGCAATGACAAATTTAGGCCAGATGATGAATTATAAAAACATTTCAGTGATAATAATGATCAAAATAATTAAAACAAATGTTTTTTTCTGTTTGAAATGTATGACACTGAAACTCAGACCATGAAGAGTGAGAGAGAGAAAGGTACTTCTGAATTATGAATTCAGAGACTGTACTTGAAAATAATGTGGGTTATAAGAAGAATCAGTTGATCATGGACCAAATAAGGACTGCTTCCTTCAGGTCACAACCAGGAAGCAAAAACTCACATACTTTTAGTATATAATATATAGATAACAGACTAGAAAAATGACTATATTGGAGAAGATTGAGGGAAATAGAAAAAGGGGGTGACATAAATAAGGTGGATCAAAAAGATTCTGAGTTATGACAGGTCAGGATGACAAGTCCTTTTTCATAGACTCAGCAGTAGAACCCAGCTTGATAGAATTTAATTGAACAAAACTGAGAACAATAATATAACATATCAACAGCATTTCAGATAGAGTATGAAGCATTAGAACAGTGGTTCTCAACCTTTTTAATGCTGCGACCCCCAACCGGTCGTAAGTCGAGGACTACTCAACCGGTCGTAAGTTGAGGACTACTCAACTGGTGCAGCACAATTTGCAGAATGGGACTTTTGGCGGGCTCAGCAGGCCAGAGACAGCCTGGACAATTCCTATTGGCTTTTGAAAGCCAATAGAATTAGACTCTATTCAAGTGAGTCTATTCTATTGGCTTTCAAAAGCCAATAGAATAAAAGTGAGTAGCACAGCTAAGGAAAAGGGAAAAATGGCGGACTGCATTGTTTGGTGACCCCCGTGAAATGGTCGTTTGACCCCAAATGGGGTCCCGACCCACAGGTTGAGAACCTGTGCATTAGAAGAATTGTGGTCAATGTTATCTGAAAGCAAAAACATCTATTGTATATATGTATGTGTGAGAGGAATAGATATCAATACATTTGATGTACAGGAGAGAAAGAAGAGTTGCAGTGGACACTCTCTTTTTCTTTCGTGTTATGGCCAAAGCTACAAAGTAGTTATAAAGTCAGGGGATGCACATTTTATTTTAAAATATAGAATTGCCATAAGTATGGTTGTTACAGATATAGCAAGATAGGTCAAATCGCTTAGTTATAAGTTGACTAGTTATAAGTCAACAAAGTATGTGTGGACATACCATAGATTGAAAAGATGTCTTCCTCTGTGCATATTTCAGGCCTGTAATGGAAACCCTCTTACAACTACAATTTTAACTTCCATCACTAAGTGATGCAGTTAAAATCAAGTCACGATTTTATGTCTTTTGCTGCAATTGTTAAGTGAATCACACAGTTGCTAAGTACCTGAATTGTGATCACATGATCACAGAGATACTGTGGTAGTCATAAGTACTAGGAGCAGTCATAAGTCACTTATTTTTAACATTGTTGTAACTTCAAACGGTTGCTATATGAATGATAACAAGTCAAGGTCTACCTGTAATTCCTATAAAATGCATTGGACTTATCTCCAGATATACATGCACTCATAACATTTTTCTGCTCCTGTATAGAGCTAGTTTCTGAAATGCAGTTATGGGAGCTGAATAGCATAACTCTAAGGCAGGGGTGTCAAACTTGCAACATCACATGATGCGTCGTGATGTACCCTGACTTTTTTGCCATTGCGGGCAATGGGGTGGGTGCAGTTTTGCTATAATGATCCGGTCTGCGGGCTGGCAGTTTGTCACCCCTGCTCTAAGGGATGTATCGCTTAGCATCACTAAGCAACTAGCATTCATCTTTTGGAACAGGAATCAAGTGAGCCCAAATGAAATAGAGTAATGAAATATAGGCAGGTATCCAAAGCTGAACTTGTTTGGACAATAATCCTTGAGATACTTTCTGTGATTTTATTTTGAATTGAATTAACCATTGAGAGACCCACATGTAAGTTAAAAATGCATTCCTATGCACATTTTAATAATAATTGAGTAGAATCATACAATAATGTTTCAGTTGCCTTCCCTAATGGTGAGTAAAGAATGCATAATACTTGGGGTGTCAGTTTAATTGAACATTGAGATTAATTCAGAATAATTGAAAACACATTTAAGGGTTAAAAAAAATCCAACATTATGGCTACTGTTACTATTATTATTTCTTTTGAAAAATTGAGTGCATCAACACTTGATCCTGGGTGTAATCAATCAGTTTTCCATTGATTCTATGTACCTACTTTCCCACCATCTGTCCTTTTGTATTCTTCCATCACCTCTTTCACTCTGTGATTTCTGGCAGCTTCCTATTAAGTAATAATTTACTCTCACCTTCTAGAAAACTAGTACTGATGGGAGCAAAGTGAAACGAAAGAGGCAAACGAGATAGAACAAGTATTGGGGGGCGGGTTTTAAATGACATTTATTGTAACTGGTCCATAATGCATTGCAGAAATCTTACATGACTGAATCTTTTTCTTTAATCTCTTTGTTGAAGCATGATGTAAATTTCAGTTAGACCCTTGTTCAGTTGTTGCCCAGCAGGTTCCTTGCCTCACATTATTTCATTTTATTTATTGAATTCTTTTCCTTTAAAATATGGGGAGCTGGCTCACTGCAAAGCAAGGCATCAGGGAAAATTATTTTCATTAATGCCACTGGGCTTTACATTGATCCCACATACATTGTTAGCAATTAAACTTTATAAATGCCTGCAATCTGGAAATGCATATTTGGTCTGGAAACATTTCCACCTGAGAGGGGTACCTTGTGATAAGGGATAGCATCAGCAAAAGGTTAGACCGTTAGAGCAGTGGTTCTCAACCTTCCTAATGCCGCGACCCTTTAATACAGTTCCTCATGTTGTGGTGACCCCAACCCCCCATCCAGCTGGCCGGGAGGGGCAAGAAGGCTGCTCTGCCCAGCCTGGTTGAAGAAGTGCCATTCCTCTCCCTCTTTCCTCTTTCTCTCTTTCCTCTCTCTTTCTCTTTCCTCTCTTTCTCTTTCCTCTCTCTCTCTTCTTTCTCTTTCCTCCCTCTTTCTTTCTCTTTCCTTTTTTCCTGTTTCTCTCTTTCCTCTCTTTCTCTTTCGTCTTTCTCTTTTCTCTTCTCTTTCTCTCTTTCCTCTTTCCTCTCTTTCTCTTTCTCTCTGTTTCCTCCCTCTTTCTCTTTCTTTCCTCTCTTTCTCTTTCTCTCTCTCTTTCCTCTCTTTTTCCTCTGTTTCTCTCTCTCTCTTACGGCTGCATCGTCAGGAGTCCCTGCCACCCCCGGCCCGGCCACCGCCCCTGCCGGGACTCCACGCTGCCTGGCCTCTCCCTCCACCCCTCGATGGAGCCATGGTGGGACAGCGCCCACCCGAGCCACCTGGGGGGCAGCAGGAGGAAGAAGGAAAGGAGGACGAGGAAGCAGCCGCCCCAGCCAGGACTCTGTGCTGCCCGGCCTTACCCTCCGCCCATCGATGGAGCTGCAGTAGGGGCTGGTGCCACACGGCCCCTGCCAGCCCCTCTGCCAGCCTGGCTGTTTCCCCCCAGGCACCCCTC